CAGTGATACAGGTAATTTGTAATCACTAGAAAGTCTTGGTCGTAATGTTATATCTATACTGTAGCTCGATTGTTTCGGTACTTCATCCCCGATTCCCTTGATATCAGCACAGATTTTTCTCTTTGATTAATACAAAGTCAGGAGAGTGACAGCCTAGAAATAAAACGACTATTCAATAACCTAAGAAAGGATTCTAGTTCGAGGAAGACTGGGAGTTACTTACAAGAAAGACGACTGTTATTTAAAAACATTTTTTCACGAGCAAGAAATAATAATGATATTTTGAAAACAAAACAGGACATTCTCTCATCACATGATTACATTAAAACTAACTACTTCGAAAAAAATATTAAACAAATATAATATGATGCTGCAATGGAACAACTAGATAAAGACGAGAAAAAACTACAGGAAGTGCACGATATTTTTCACCCTTCAACATCATTTAAGACATACGACAGTAGCAAGTATAAAATTCAACAGTTCAGGATGAATCAATTAAAAAATAAAATTAACCAAGTACAAACTGCAATTGAGGAGAACAAACCTAATTGGTTCTTACAATCCAACCTACAGAGCTTACAAAATCAGTGGCAACAAATTGAATGATGAAATCTGAACAGTATGTATAGCAAAGTTGTTAAGACAAGGGTTACCATTTTTGTGGATTGCTGAGCTGGATACTGCTCGCGATTATATAATTCACTGTTTGACAAATGAACCGGTTTTAGCGATATTCAATCCCAAGTTGCCTACGGAACTTCACACCAATGCAATTGCTATTGGTCTTGGTGCTAATTTATTACAAGAACACGCCGGTAGGAGAAAGAGGATTGTCGGTTATTTTAGTAGGTCCATCCAGGGCGCAGAGTCACGGTACCACGGCTATGAGTTGGAGACGTTAGCTGTCGTTGTACGTGCGCTCCAGCACTTTCGCCACTATTTGAATGGTATAACGTTTAAAATAATGACTGATTACAACTCATTAAAATTGACGGAGCGTTATGGTTATGGTTTGTGGATTTAGTTTTAATTTAGGCACTTAGACTCTCAGTAGGTCCGTTGTGCGTATAGTCCTGGCTAACTAAGCCAGCCTAACTCCTTTCGATAGAAGCATAGGAGTCTCCTGGGCACTTCGTGGGCTTCACGGAGCGGCCTCACTGTTCCGAGGATTTCTGCACGTTGTTTAGCTACAGCCTCGTATGATGGACTACGTGGGTGACTGATTCCTCTGCGCTGAAACAGCCTTTGCACAGGGGGCTGTCTGTCGCGCCTAGGACAAAAAGATGTTTGTTAAGGAGACAATGGCCCGTAATTGTCCCTATCATTGTTTTTAGATTGGTTCTGTTTAAGTTTAGAAGTTGCTTTGTTAGTTGCGGGTTAACTGCTGGCAGAGCTATTTTGGACTGTCTGCAGTCCGCACTTCGCGACCATCGTTGATGTTTAACCTACTGTAAAGCAGAGTTATTTAGGAAAGAATTTGCGTCCTGGTAATTATTAAAAGACAGAGACAGTCTATTACGACCAATTCGTTTTAGGCTTCCGTTAACAATATTGTGTATAGAATTTCTTTTTAAGAAACGACCAAAAGCAATTGGGTGGACTGAAACGCTATCATTTGGAGTTTGCTGTACTCTTTGTATGTGAACAACATATGGTGCTGCATCACTTGGCTGGTATCTTAAACGTGCTACTGATTCTGGCTTTTTATATTCATTAGAGGAATTAAGTTGTGATGGGTTGGATTGTGACTCATTGAACAAGGGAGCAGTGCTAATTTGGGTATTGGTTAAAGGAATGCAATGACATTCGTTTGGTTTGATTTCCTTGCCCTCATGTTTCCGACTACGTCTCTTTTTATTACAGTGGGTGCAATGTTTATGCACAGTGGCTCTCCGTTTTCGAGCACCACTGCTAGATTTTATAGATCCATCTGTTTCCATTCCAGACTCATCATTTGAAATCGTTACTATACAGCCCACCCCAGGGACTTCTCCGCCCCCAGGGTCATCAGGCGGCTCCATAAGGAGCAAAAGTATATTAAAATAACTTACCAATAAATCTTCTCTTTAATACACTATTAAATAAAACTAAGAAATAACAAAAATATATACATTAACTACACTAGACTACTGATCCAAACCCTAGAAATAAAATAAAATTTAATTAAATCGAAAAACGCGTCAGTCTACGATCGTATTTCCCGCGCTTCCTCAGAGGTGATTGATTAACGTGTCGTATTGAAACAGTGATGTGTTCTGACAAGAACATATCAGAATAGTTACGGTCGTGTGTTCTGAAAAGAACAGTTTCATCGTGTCGTAAGACACGGTAATATGTCCTGACAAGGACAGTTGTTAAACGTTTTCGTCGTGAAACAAGAATAATATGTCCTGAAAAGGACAGTTGTTAGACGTTTAGTCGTGATACGATAATTTGTCCTGAAAAGGACAGTTATTAGCGTTATCGCAAGGCTACGATATCGAAGTGTTCTGAGAAGAACACGTTCGTACGCTTAGACGGCTGCGTGCAGAAAAAGGCCAACTTTTTGCCGCGCCGCATTTTTATCGCCTACTCTGGTACCTGCGCAACCAATCAACGCTCCGCATCTTGGTACCACATGTCAATATTAGTTGTAAGTGTAGGATAAGTTTTAAGTATAATTGTACACAGTTTTGTAAATAAATATCATTCATTATTCCATCTTCACCTCTTCTCTACAAGTAATTAGGGAGTTTTATTTTAACATCGACCAAATAATTCTGAAGCAATCAACCCTCAACCAACATCCCTAAAGAGCTATATCACAGGGATCCTCTGTTACTATGGGAGTACCGCAAGGCTCCATACATGGTCCCTTCTTATTCCTCGTCTATATAAATGACCTGCCATTTCTTGTAAAGGAGCTTCACGAGATAGTACTGTTTGCTGATGACACTTCGCTTTTATTTAAAGTGAAACGACAAAATCCATCACTTGATAACGTAAACAGTTCCATCTCCAGTGTAGTTCACTGGTTTAATACAAATAATCTTAAGTTAAACGAAAAGAAGACAAAATGTGTTAAATTTGTAACTACATATGTAAAAAGTTGTCATTCTCAAATAATAATTAAAGACGAGGAAATAGACTTTGTTGATAATGCGGTGTTCTTGGGAATTACTTTAGATAGTAAACTCCAGTGGGGCCGACACATAGAAGGTCTTTCGAATAGGCTAAGTTCCGCAGCGTTCGCAGTAAAAAAGATACGCGATCTTACGGATGAGAACACAGCAAAGCTTGTTTATTTCAGCTATTTTCATAGTATTATGTCATATGGTGTTATTTTGTGGGGTAATGCAGCTGACATTAAATCGATATTTGTAGTGCAAAAGCGGGCTATAAGAGCGATCTGTGGGTTGTCCCCACGGGAGTCGGTCCGAAGCAAATTTAAGGAATTACATATTTTGACTCTGGCAAGTCAATACATTTATGAGAATATTTTGTATGTGCGGAAAAATATAGATATCTTTAAAAAGAATAGTAGCTTCCATAATTATAGAACTCGTAATAAAGACAAAATTAGCGCACCAACCAGAAGGCTGCATAAAACGAGTAATTCTTTCAAAGGCGAAATTGTATACGTTTTTTCAACAAAATCCCTAGTGAGATACAAGCGTTGTCAATCAATAAATTTAAATCGTACAGTAAGTAAAACTGCTTGCTAAGGCTTATTATAATATAAATGAGTATTTAAACGATCCTAGTGCTTGGATATGAGTTGCTCCAGTATATATTATAGGTAACACGACTGAATCTCTCGGCTGCATTTCCAGACTCTGGGGCGATCGTCAACATCCACGACTGTTTTAATGTAAAGTGGGAACAAACCGTGATCCATGTGGTATCCAATTATTTCAGTATTATTATTATTTTCTTATGTAGCCAAGTCCACATTTCAAGGATCGTCATGCTCGCTTAAATGTCATTGCTTGTGGCGGCGTCCATGCGTCGGGTTGTCTCTCTCCCTAAAATATGGCGAGGGGGCCGATGGCTGGCCATGCGTCATACTCGTGAACGTGTGCTACTTGTGGTGACTGGTCGTACTTGAATTCGTGTATGCGGTGATGTTAATTATTTCGACTATGTGTTTGCGTGTTGTTCCCACGAGAATGTAAGTGCGTGCTCCTATTTCACCATGCCTCCTGCTGATAGGGGACAAGTCTTTGTTTTTATTTATGTTATTATTATTAATGACTTAAAATGTCATGTGGAACATGGTGTAATGGTTGCAGCTCCTTACAAACGTTGTGTAAAAAAAAAAAAAACATGGCGATTAAAAAGAGTGGCGGAGAGTTTATTGCCAGTTCTTCTCTTCCGTTCTACGCCCTTGATTTGAGAACTGGCAGTAAATGTAAAATTAGAAGCATTAATATTTATTTCTTTAATGACGAATCACAAGTGTACATTGTGTTACCTACGTGAATAAATGATTTTTGAATTTGAATTTGAATTTGTCTGTGGCAATACGCCCTGCGTGAAGTTATTAAAAAAAAAAAAAAAGATATACTGTTGTATTATGATTTATGATGTATGTACTTATGAAATATGTAGTATTGTGTTAAAAATAAATGACCAACTAAATTTTTGTTTTGTAGAAGTAGTTTATAATATCAAGTAAATAATATCAATGCCTAAAATTGTTTTTAATCCAAGGATGAGTATATTTTTGTATTCATAGTTTCAAGCTATGTTTTCGTATTTATTAAAGTTGTTTACTATTTTTGCAACCTATAAAGTTAACGTACCAGTAAGATTAACATATTATCTTAAAAAAATAGGCCGAGCAACTACACTCGAGAACCGAATTGTAAATTTTGATACAATAATAACTTTTGGCTAAACGTAATTTTCTGTAATATTCAAGTTTTACTGACCCAAGTTTACTAACTCATCATATAAAATTATTATTTATAGTACAGTGGAATAGTATTGCAAAGAGAGGGTAAAATAATACTCAAATGCCATTGTGTGAGCCTAGAAAATTACTACAAGCGGACATGCAGGTAATGATAATATTTAGCTTCTATAAGTTTATCTATTTAGAAATTATGCAATTAATTTTTATCATAATGAAAAGAAAAAACAATACATTTGTTTCTTTAATAATAAGTAAAAACTCGAATGTTGTATGCATGCTGGTGTAGTACTAAACTTTTGCATAGAGTTGAGTGATTTGTTAGTAGTTAATTTTTTGACATGTTGCTGATTAGTCTCTCTGAAAGAGTTAGCGATGGACTTCTAGAAGTGCCTAGGGTAGTATTAAGAAACAACATAGTGCTAAGTCTGACTGCCAGACATAAAAAATGTATTGGATTGTGATATACACAAGTCAAAATTTGGTTTAAGTGTTGTTTCTGAATCGTTACCATTAATGTGGCTCCCAGTATCTGAGTTCAATCAATGAGGGTTTTAGCAAACTTGGTTTAAAAATACCCAACCAGTTCATCTTTGACTTACTCTTAAAATCTAAAAGCTAGTAGTTTAGTTGTCATTTTGTAAAATATAACTTAACCAAAGACGTAGGTTTGATCAAAGAAAGATATAAGATCTTTCAAGAAATAAAAGAATGTTGTGTCTCCTCAGTTTGATAGTATCTCACATAGCATCAGTATATTTGAGATTGGCATATTAAAACAAGTGAAATGAAATTTTGCAGTCATCTAGAAGATGTCACCTGAAAAGCTTAGTGTATCGGGTAGAGCAGTATAGATGTACGAGCCAAAGCTGTATGTTTTGCTCACTCAGGCATTCTTAGTTTTATAAGCGTGGTGATTAACTAAATCATGGGAGTTACATCCCAAAACTCTAGCCAGACGTAGGCTTCTCTTCAACTGTTACATTGCATTCATTTGTTACTTAGCAATTAACATTTCATTATTTCGCTTATATTCTATTGTTGTACTTGAGTAGTTAATATAGAGTAAAACTAAAATCCTCTATTATTATTTAAAGCAGGCCCTGATGACCCATAAACCGTACAATAAAAGTACTACTCAAAGTCAAAATAACTTTATTCACATAGGTAAACAAGTACACTTATGAATGTCAGAAAATAAGTTAAATTAATTTCAAATTTACATTTACTACCAGTTCGCAAGCCAAGGGCGTAGAGCAGGCAAGAAACTTTCCACTTTTCCGCAACATTCTTTTTAATAGCGAAATTTTCAATCATACAAATTGTTTGAACTCTAGCAAATCAATGCCAAGGATTAGGATCATTTAAAATTTCGTCAAATTTATATAAAGCTTTATTGATTAATTTACGTTTAATGAGAGCTTTGAATTTATTTAGTGATAATTCTCTAATTTCGCTTGAGAGTGGTTTATCTGGAGCCTGGTTGGTCGAACACGAAAAACGTCAACGTCATTTCTTAATAGCGTTTTGTCCGAGTCGTCCTTTTAAATGTATAATCCTTTCTAGGAAAGCGCAAGGTTAGAGAGCGGTCAGCGCCCGCTCAGTCCGTCGACGCTACACGAGCGGCTGGTCGGGCACGCGCTCGCCGTCACCGACGATCTGGTGCGTACCGGACCCGCTTCTCTGTTCGGCGAGGATACCGCGTGGATCCGATTCTCCGATTCTCACTCTCCCAGTTTCACTGTTCTCTCGCAGGAAGGGAGATCGGGCGTTTGGGGCGAGCACTCTTACGCACGCGAGCGCGGCGCTGCGCCCCACTCTCGCGTGCGCACGCTGCTGCTGCCCCGCGCTCCTCTCGCCGCGCAGTCTGCACCCCTCGCCCTCGTCGACGCGCACTCGCCGCCGGCCGCGCGGCCCGCGCCGCCCCTCGACCGCCCCGACGACTCGGATTCAGACGACGACGACGCGACCGACGCCGCCGATTGGGAGCGGATCGTCCTTGACGCGGCGACCACCGAGGCGCGACGTCGACTTGCCGGAGCGGTCGTCCGGCTGCTCGCCGAGATGCGCCTCCGCCGCTTGGCGGTAGACCGGTAAGAACTCGTCGTTCCGGTTACGTCGCGCGGAATTCGCTCTCGATAGCTCCGATCGCACACTCTGAAACGGTTCTAATCTTCCGGCAGGAGTAGATGGCGGCGCGCAGAATCCGTCAGAGGAGCGGCGACACGGCTCCGCGGCTCGCTCGCCACGGCGACGGCCGGCGACTGCGCGTGGCTGCACGGCGTCATGCTCGCTCATCTGCCGCGTTCGCAGAGGACGCCGTACGAGCGCGTGACGGGTGAACTGCGACGCGTCGCGCCCCGCCTCGCCGCTCGCCTCGCGCCCGACGCGCCGCCGCCGCCGATCGAGCCGTTGGACGCGGCACCGCCGCCGCTCGACGCCGCGACGCCGGGTCCCTGGCTCGGTTGGGTGAGCGCGGGACTCGAGCGGCGGGACGAACGATGGCGAAGGCGACTGGGAGCGCTGATACACGTGCGGCCTCTAGGCGGCGGAAGCGCCGGGGCCGGGGCGCCCCCGGAACGCTGGTGCGCGACGCGAGCCCACGCCGTCCGCTCGGCTCTCGTCCGTCTCCTGCAGGAAGCCGGGTGCGCGATTATCTCCTCGCGTCCGAGAAGATCGGGCGTCCGCATCGCTTTCTAATCGTTCCTCTCTCGAAGCAGGTCCCGCCCGGTGGTGTTGGGCGGATTCGGCGCGGGCGCGGCTCTGGCGGCGCGGTTGGCGAGCGCTCGAGGAGTGCGCGGGGCGGTGCTGCTGGCGCCGCCGCTGCTGACCGCGGAGGGGCCCGACGAGCCGCCGGGCGAGGCGCCGTCGGCGGCCTTGCTCGTGGCGGGCGGCGCGGCGGCGACCACCGGGCGCGGCGCTGCGGCGCAGATGGCGTCCGGCGGCGGCTCTCGGCGTCTGCTGCTAGTCGCCGGCGCCGACGACGCGCTTCGTCTGCCGCGCCGTCACCGCCTGCGTCTCGGCCTGCCGCAGCAGGCGCTGGACGCCGCGATCGCGGTAGGCGTCTTTAACGAATTCGTTTCGTACGCGGGTCCCCTTCGAACGGTGAATAAATCGTATCTTTCGCAGGAGGAGTGCGCTCGCTGGATCGGCGAGGTGTGCGCCGAGGAGGAGGACGAACGGACCGAAGGTACGCAAGATACGCGTCCCGAATATTTTTTTTTTTTATATTTAATGGAGTGTTTATAATAAACTTTGTCTGTGACCGCAGAGTGCGCCGGAGTCGCCGTCGCCGCTGACGTGTCGCCGTAAGTATCGATCTATTTACTTATTTTATTTTATTTTTTTTATTTTATTTTATTTTATTTCAAAAGGCACACTAACGAAACACATACAAACACTTACAGAGAACACATAACATAGAAAACAAGATACATGCATGTGCATCAATAACAAGTGTGCACAACATTTATAGGGAAACATTACAATGATGAAGAGAAAGTAAAAAAAAACTAGATTAAAAAAAAATACAAACACATATAAATAAAAAACAATAATTTTCAACTTTGCAATTATCACTATTGGTCACGGATCAACATTGGCTGCAGCATCTTACGCCTGAAGACATGAAGACATGAAGACATTTACCTTTTTATTCAGCGTTTTTGAGCTGACCTTCGCATATTTCTCGTTTTAAACCCTCTTTCGCTCGTTCGGTTTATTTTTGTTGTCGATCGATCCGTTCGTCTCTCTCGATAGGGGAGCCGGGGCGGCGGAGGGCCGCGTGGTGTCTCGCGTGTCCGGCGGAACCCCGCTGGCGCTACGGCCCCCGGGCGGGCGCCGCGCCGACTTCCACGCCGCCGATATCATGCGCCTGCCCATCGTGTTCGCCGACGACTTGCCCGACGCCGCCGAGCCGAAAGAGGAACGCCTGCGAGTCGTGGCCGGGGCCACGCGAACTACGCGCGTCATCGTGACGAAGCGCTCCGCTCTCGAGGGCGCTCCTTCGATCCGCCGACCGCGCGCCGCGGACCCGCAACGCCGACGGCCTTGACCCGGCAAAAGAAATTAAACGACGCTATCGAATTGTTTTGAATCACCGACCGGACTTGGTGTAACTGTAAATAAATAATTTTCATTCGTTACCTTATTCATGTTGCACCGTGTCATACCCTTCGAGAAATTTGTAGGGAAAAGGTACGGAAAGAAGTTATACCTTTATTTGACTATAGGTAACTTCTGGTCTGAGTAACTTATTCTATCTAGAACTATACTGACGCAGCTGGTTTCGAGAATTGATCTTACTGATGACGCATATAGCACCCTAATCTCCTATGCTATAGTCGCAGAGTATTTTAGTTGGAGAGGCACTAAAGGTCATCATTTCGCATTTGTCACAGTTAAAGTGTTTATTATATTTTATCTCAATCTAGTTGCATACACAGAGAGGCATTGTTTGACTTAAATACTTCAAAAGCCTTAATGTCGACGTCATATAATCGTCAGAACTTTGGAACATTTAATAACGCTCGGGAAGTTGTTATTCATAATCAAAATAGCAACGGGCCTAGATTTGACCCCTGGCTAATACCATAACTTGTTGGATATGACTGCGAGATATTAGGTCCTTACATATGAAATTGGCGTTAGTATTACGTAACGAATTTGTTCCTTTTGTAAACGTTACGATGCGGGGCGGGGATTGAAATACGCGTTATTGTTAATATTATTTTCGACTTTACACCACATAATGGAATAATTTAGGTATAAAGAATCACTGGGTGGTCACAAAACGTTTTACTATTGGATAAAGAAAAGCGTAACGGCGCGATACATGGGGGGTCAATAATCTCCAAAAAAAATAAAATGCGTGACGTAATACTTGAACGCTCCCTTATGTGAGGAACACAAGTTGTTTTTTTTTAAATAGAATATAATAGTTAATTAATCAAAGCACCATTGCTATTTATGCTCTTTTAAAAAAATGGTAATTCCAATTGAAGCTCCTCTAGAGTCTGGCTAATGAAAAAGAAGATAACGAAAAAGCGCGGCTAATTCAATAAAAAATAGTATGGTATCTCTAAAAGTTTGATATATTTTGTGGATTACTTACTTGATTTTATTTTATTATTTTTTACATTGATAGTAACTGTATTTCTATGGAATTAAATATTATACGTATTTATTCTTTTACTATTGATACTTAAAATGACTAGCATTGCATGGAAAACTAAAACTATATTTTTTTATAAAACACAACTTTTTTCGGAATAATCAGAATCAATAAAATAAAGTTTAGGCTATTATACCGCTTTAACCGATAACGCACTGTCGCCTCGCCTTCATACACATCATAATCTTTCGAGCCGTTTCTGCGGCACTGGTGCCACGATGGAGCTCGTCCTTGTAAATAACGCGATATTTCATGTTTTCTAATTTATAACTAGAGTGTCGCAAAGATAAAGAATTAAAACGGGAAAATGAAATGAAGCATGGTTTTCGAAAAACAAATGCACCAGTAAATAGCTGTACAAAATTGAATTTGGAATTCCTAACCAAAAAGAAGAAATATACATGAGGTCAAAGTGGGCAGTACGACAAATCGTCAATTTCGTATGTCCTACATACATGTCGTGTTACATACCTAATATAACATTATCCTTATTTAACATATTGGTTACGTAACGTACTATTTCATAGGTAACTAGAAAAGAACTTAGCAGAACCACATCCATTTGCGGTTAACTTTTGGAGTAGGAAGTCATTACCTACTCGATCAAACGCTTTGCGAAAATCCAAATATACTACATCTACCTGACAGCGCTTATCAATTTATCATGACACTATGTCAGCCAAAGACAAGAGATTTGTATTAACGTTTGAACGAAAACCGCGTGCCATCCTCGGCCATAGACATGCGCAACGGAGGCTAAATTGGTAATCGGTGAACTGTCCCGCCGGAGTGACAGCGAGGTAGGGGACGCATGCGTGCGGCATTCCACGGCGCGCGGCAGTGCGGCCTCGCGTGCGGAGCGTGACGCGCCGCGGCTTGCGAGTCTCGAGCCGCTCTGTCCTGACGCACGTCCCGCGCTCCGCGAACGTCGGCGTCCGCTAGTCACACGGCCCGACCACGTCGATCGCTAGCTGTCTTTCACCTAACCGTGCGCGTCCGCTCGCCTCCGGCCTCTCCAGGACTCAGGACTCGTCTCGACTCACTCTATCGATTCGAGAACGAACCGAGCGGAGTGGTGAGCTGCGGTCGCTCGGCTTTTGAGCTAATTGAGTTACATAAGCGAGCCCGTTCGCGCTTGTCGCTCTCGATCCTAAACAATAATAAATCCGTCGAGTGCCTTCGTCGACCAACCCTCTTCGGTTCCCTGGCGCAGGGACTAGTGGACTCGTCGACGCCGAGCGACAGTTTGCTGCTCCGTCACCGTTATAGGTAGCCGCTTAGCTCTGCAGTGAACGAAAAGCATCCCAGGCTGAACCGTCACACATATTCGCGATAATTATTCAAATTAAGACAATGTCGTAAGTAAAGTCCTCGAACGTGTGATCGATGTAAGGTAACCTAGATGAAAACATGGCTATAGACAAAAGACAAAAAAACTATCAGCTATATATGAAGTTAAGTCATATTTTCGGGAAAAATAATTAAATAGGTGGATAGCTATCTTGTTGTTCACTAATATGTATTGTGCCTAAACCTTCAATGGATGTCTCGTTATAGGTCCTAAGCGGATAAAGACAGTGATGATCCAGTTCTGATGATTGAAGCGCATTGACCTCTAGTGCAGTGCTCCACATCTTAGGTAGAGTATTAGTAGGTAAGCTATCGGTGCATCATCATCGCCATTTGATGACGATGGAGTAATAGCTCAGCGAATCTCGCTTTCTGAGGGTCAGCTAAACTTTAGTGTACTTACTTATTTTTATTTATCGTTCCACATTTTGTCAATTCTGTGGATTCAATATTTTGTAGGTTTGTATAGTCGAACCTCGATACCCCCAGCATACATAAGGAAGATACTTTCCGTGTCTGTTTTATTAATAACTTTTCTCAGTGGACATGTTTCCTATTTATCAACCTTCTGTATCTTGAACACCGAAGTGCGTTAGCCGTGAAGAAAGTGTAGGCAATTTGAATTTCCATTAAAGGGAAACATTACAATGATGAATAGAAAATAACTTCAACATTAAAAGTAAAAAAAACAAACTAGGTTAAAAAAATACAAACATGCAATTTACAAATATTATATATATAAAAAAACCAATAATTTTCAACTTTGCAATTATCACTATTGGTCACGGATCAACATTGGCTGCAGCATCTTACGCCTGAAGACATGGAGAATGTCACTAAATGGATCTGCTTGGCATGTACTCAGAGCGTCGTTTAATGTCGATAGAGATCTGTGTAGAGGAGCATTACAACCGACGATCATATAAAATCAGTAAACGCAAATGACAGTAGATCGTAGTATACTATATATATTTAGATAAGGGTTTTCGCAAAGAGACATTTGTTTATTATTTATAGTCAAAAATATTGTTTTCGTCATGTATATATTTTAACTAACTATATAAGTAGTTTAGTTGTAAATTTCGTGATGAAGTTAACAGTTAATTTAAGTTATAAATCTTTTGTACCGTAATCTCTAAAATAAATTTCATTTAATTTTTTGGAAGGGAAAGCAGCGAGCAACGCAAGTGCGGGCAAGATGTGGCGCTGTTGAGAGGCGACAGAGGCGCAGCGCAAAGTAATGCCGGGGGGGCGGCGGGGGCTCGTAGCCCCGCAGAACACCTTCCTCGAGAACATCATTCGCCGCTCCTCATCGCAGCGTCAGTATTCAACCTTTTTTAAATAACGTTTGAACAACAATCGAAGCCAAAGGGTTATGTAAAGACTTCGACTCGTGTGTTACAGCAGACAGCAGTTTTCTGCTGGCCAACGCGCAAATCGTAGATTACCCCATCGTATACTGCAACGAGACCTTCTGCAAGATGAGTGGCTACAACCGCGCGGAGGTGATGCAAAAATCTTGCCGCTGCGGCTGGATGCACGGCGAGCTGACGGAGAAAGAGGCGCTCGAACGCGTCGATCGCGCACTCGACCACCACCTCGCCGATCAGTTCGAGATCCTGCTCTACAAGAAGAACCGTGAGTGCCTGCGTGTTATCAGGCCTCGCTCCGCCACCACACTCCCAGCCTCACACGTCTCTGTCTGTGCAGGTACGCCGCTGTGGCTACTGGTGCACGTGGCGCCGATTCGCAACGAGCGCGAGCTCGTCGTGCTTTTTCTGCTCACCTTCCGCGATATCACCGCACTCAAGCAGCCTATCGACGCAGACGACCCCAAGGGAGGTAAGTCCGTGCCGCATCACGTCAGAGTCCACTGTGACCGTATCTAATTCGATGACGTGTCTCGTGCAGGTCTGTCCAAGTTTGCAAAGCTGGCGCGATCGGTGACGCGGTCGCGGTCGGTGCTGGTGTCGGCGCTGCCTGCGCTGAAGGAGCCGGCGCGGCAGAGCCACCTCGCGCATGTCAGTACACCCGCAGCGCATGTAAACACGCACCCTTTTCCTCGCTTGCAATTACCGCACTTCGCTCGACTGTCTCGGCCTGCGTCATGCTAGTTTAAGATGTTTTATTGTTTTTACCTTCCGCATTCCGGTATCTTCGTGTACGGTTCCCAATATAAATAATAAAACTATTACAAAACGCTATCTTTGTCATCGCTAGACCTCGACGATAAGAGTCCCGGCGGATGTAATGCGGTTGGCGTTCGCAGGTGATGTCGCTATCTGGAGAGGTGCTTCCGCAGTACAGGCAGGAGGCGCCCAAGACGCCCCCGCACATTCTGCTTCACTACTGCGCCTTCAAGGCCATCTGGGACTGGATTATCCTGTGCCTCACCTTCTACACGGCTATCATGGTTCCCTATAACGTGGCCTTTAAGAATAAAACTAGCGAAGACGTGTCGCTGCTCGTGATCGACTCGATCGTGGACGTTGTGTTCTTCATCGACATAGTGCTTAACTTTCACACGACGTTCGTGGGGCCGGGTGGTGAAGTGGTCAGTGACCCAAAGGTCATCAGAAAGAACTACTTCAAATCATGGTTTCTCATCGATTTGCTCTCTTGCTTACCTTACGACGTGTTTAACGCGTTCGACCACGACGAGGACGTAAGTATGGGTGGGGGGGTGTCCAAACGTAATAATATGTACATAAATATTGTATTTAGTTCTGATATTCACCAACGGATGGCGCTGTGCGATTTCTGCATTATGCTGAATCGCGCTATCGTTATATGTGGTTTTTAGTATAAGGTTTAAGATATTTTTTGAATAAATTGTCTTCGTCCTGGAATCGTGGAGTTTTGTTCAGGGGGTGTAATGTATGGTGGAAGTGGGGGGTGGTAGTGACCGGTGCACTTTGCAGGGTATCGGCAGCCTGTTCAGCGCCCTCAAGGTTGTGCGGCTGCTGCGTTTGGGTCGCGTGGTGCGTAAGCTGGACCGCTACTTGGAGTACGGCGCCGCCATGCTCATCCTGTTGCTGTGCTTCTACATGCTCGTAGCACACTGGCTGGCCTGCGTGTGGTACAGCATTGGACGATCGGACGCCGACTCGGGCCTACAGTATTCGTGGTTGTGGAAGCTGGCTAACGTAACACAGAGTCCGTACTCTTACGTGTGGTCTAATGAATCAGACGGGCCCGAGCTCGTTAATGGGCCCTCGCGCAAGACCATGTACGTGACCGCCCTCTACTTCACCATGACGTGCATGACCTCCGTGGGCTTCGGCAACGTGGCCGCCGAGACCGATAACGAGAAGATCTTCACCATCTGCATGATGATCGTGGCAGGTGCCGGAACTCTTCTCTTATTAGCCGGAGCACGCCCTGTCCTCGCGACCCCCGCGCAGTCCTCTGCGCCGGGGGCCGCCCCTGCCCTTTTATTCCCACTTTCTATCCTAAACTTCATACTAATCTATATATATAATAGGTAACTCAAATATTAAAATATATCATTTACAAAAAGGTCCTCATTTGGTGCAGGGTAAATCGTTTACATTCACTGATCCATTTAAAGGTGACTCCACAATCTAGCATTATTGCGAAAAGCCGTATTCACTGAATCAATTTCGTTAACAAATTACAACATAAAGTAAACGAATCAATTGTTCTTCAACAAATTAATTTTTATGTAATAAATAGTACCTAGTGCACTGCACGTTTAGGACATTCTACGATGAGATTGTTTAAGTATTTTTATATGCTAAAAGTCATCATCATCCCCATCATTGCATTCCCAACGTTCACCCGTCCCGTTCCCCGTGCAGGCCCACGAAGCGTCACACAGTCGAACGCCGCAACCCTGGCCCGCGCCGCCGCCTAGTTTCGCTTAACACAACACGCGCCAGAAGGCTCGCGATTGTGTATTGCGAAATTCCAGCCGGGCAGGGGCCGGGGTCGCGGTGCGAGGGGGAGGGGGGATAGCTAAAGCTCGAGTGTTTACTGCCGGCAGCCCTACTGTACGCGACAATATTCGGGCATGTGACTACCATCATTCAGCAGATGACGTCGGCGACGGCAAAGTACCACGACATGTTGAACAACGTTAGAGAATTTATGAAACTGCACGAAGTGCCCAAGGCACTTAGCGAACGAGTCATGGACTACGTCGTCTCTACCTGGGCTATGACAAAGGGGCTCGACACCGATAAGGTGAGACGATGAGACAATTCAGCGTAGTGAGTTTCGGCCGGCGTGACCGTAACGTGCGTGCTTGCAGGTGCTGAATTACTGCCCCAAAGACATGAAGGCAGACATTTGCGTGCATCTCAATCGCAAGGTCTTCAACGAGCATCCGGCTTTTCGGCTGGCGTCGGACGGCTGTCTGCGCGCACTCGCCATGCATTTCCATATGTCGCACTCTGCACCAGGCGATCTGCTCTACCACACGGGCGAGTCTATCGATTCTCTTTGCTTTATCGTGACCGGCAGCCTAGAGGTAATCCAGGACGACGAAGTCGTGGCAATTCTTGGTAAAGGCGACGTGTTCGGCGACTCTTTTTGGAAGGACAGTGCCGTCGGTCAGTCGGCGGCCAACGTACGCGCGCTTACTTATTGCGACCTGCACACCATCAAGCGCGATCGCCTACTCGAAGTTCTCGATTTCTACCAAGCCTTCGCCAACAGCTTCGCGCGCAACCTCACGCTCACCTACAATCTGCGGCACCGCCTCATCTTCCGCAAGGTGGCCGACGTGCGACGCGAGCGCGAGCTTATGGAGCGCCGCAAGCGCGAGCCGCACCTCGAACAGGCGCAGGACCACCTCGTGCGCAAGATTTTCTCGCGATTCCGCCGGGAGCGAAGCGTAGCCGCCGCGCCAGCTCGTACCGCCGCGCCCTCGATTGCCCCGGCCGACAGCGATTCGGAACCCGCGCCGGCCGTGTGAGTAAACATCGCCGACGTGACGCTTTCCGGTCGCGATATCCTTGAATAAAATATATATTTCATTTTAGAAGTGGAGCAGGTGCTACTTCGTTGGCAGAAGGCAGTGGCGTTACCTCGGGGGCGACCGGAGAGGCGGTGGGTATCGTCGCGGGGTCGGTGGCAAACACGGGAAGCACAGGCGCAGGTACGGCGGCGGCCCGCGGCAAGTGGGGACGACTGCTGGCGGGCGGTGCCCACTCTCTTGAAGGGGGCGACCCACCACGGGCATCTTTTACGCGTTCCCTAAGCGCGCGGGATAACGCCAGCCCTGCTACTGCCACGTCCGCTACGACATCTCTCACCACCGTGACGCTCAAGGTTCACAAATTTTGAAATAACTTCAAAAAGACGTATGTATAGGGAGGAGGTATTGTCCTATCAATAACAACAAACTCCACTTGCTAAGGTCCTGACATAACTCTCTCGCTTCTGCATCCACTTTTATTACATTCACCATGCATGGTCGTCTATTACCTCCTCGATTTGGTTTAGGTATGTACTACAAGGCCTACCCACGGTTGGCTTGTTAATCGCTTCTCATTCATCCGTTCCACGTTTCCCTTTTACTGCATCTATTGAAATATCCAATACAGTCCTATTGCCACCTTTTTCAAATACCATGGATTTTGTTTTCCTATGTTCACTTTCATCCTCTTAACACTCAAAGCGTTTTTCCTGGTTGTTACCAGCTCCTGCAATGCCTCCGCCGTAGACGCAACTATCACTTGGTGGTCAGCGTGTAGGAGACAATCACTAGTAGCTGGCCCATTTTTAATACCCGTTTTTACTGTCGTTCATATCTTTCAAACAATTGTCCATGAATAGGTTGAACAGCCACGGGAAAGCAAGACAACCCTGTCTCACACCTTTTACGATAGGAAACCATCCCGTGCGTATTCATTCCCTTTAAAGCTTCCACAACCTCGTTCAAGCTAATCTTGCGTGTATCTCTCTTACCCTGGTTATACGGTAGAATTCAGTTAAAAGCGACAGGATCCTTGTCAAATTAACTTCCAAAATACTCCTTCAATCCATAATTCTTCCGCCTTGGTCACGAATTCTGATAATTTCGGATGTCTTTTCTATAGAACACTTAACAATTTATTTATGCTAATAATTGTATTAAAATTACATAGATACCTTAAAATATTTGTTATTTAACACATCTTCACGAAAGAACTCATTATAAACAATGCATAACACAACTTTAGAAATATCATCCATCCCCATTAATTTAGAAGAGAAGATTTAATTAATTATCGGAATAAACTGCTGCATTTCTGTTTCCTTCTTTTTACGTCGAAGCCATCTCTCAAGATAAGTAAAGGGATATAACGATAACCTACGAATAAATAGTCCCCGCAAATAGTATTTACATGTTTGACAGAGTGCGTTTGGACGAGGGCGCGCAAGTAGCGTGTTGACTGGAACCACCCGTCGTGACCCTATCGACGAGGAGGCGCCGGTTCCGGCCGCCGCCGTCGGCACTGCATCAGCGACAGCGGCCACGACCACTGTTGCGACAACGACAACGGTGACAGCGGCGCCGGCGACGGTGACGGCGAGCGCGGCGGCAGTGAGTCACGAAGCGGCATTAGCGGAGCTGCGACGAGACGTTCGCAACGAAGTACAACGGTTACAGCACAAGGTACTCGTCCTCGCGACTATGGGAAAGTAAATACGCGGTAGTTCGTTTATCACTCTCGTTTCTCGCCGTCGCCGGCAGCTGGCGCGCGTGGAGGAGCTGCTGACTCTGCTCGCCTCTCGTCTCGGTGCCGACCCCCACGAGGTGCCATCCGGCCCCTCCGACGGACCCGATCGCCCCGACTCCGCGGCCGTCGCCAGGAAGCGACGCTCCAAGGTTACGCTACGTATACGTCATCGCCGTCAGAGTCGCGCCCCTTTTATATCTTATATTTTATATTAAAACGCTCCGAAAATACAGGCACGCAGCAAAGGAGCGGCACCGCAAGCGCCCTCGTCGAGCACCCCGACGACACCCACGGAGGGCCCCGGGCACTCGGGGGAGAACCCGGGCTCGGCCACTCTTCGCCGGCGCGAGTTCGTGTAGCGCGGCGCGGCGGGCGGTCGCCCCCGCTAGCCGCTCGCTCCCCGTGAACTTCGACACTGTACAGTAGAACATAGACTCGCGTGTAGGGCCCGGTGATGGTGCGACGCGTCTTCTCCCAAGCCGAGGCCGGAAGTGCGCGACACGCAATATTGTAACATAGTATTTCGCGAGAAAGTGTATAAAATAATGTGTAAGCCGCTTAACTTTGTGAGAAGTTTTAAATGTAGTTTTGAGAAGCAATATAATTATTATATACCTAAATGAAACGTTCTTTGTACACTAGAGACTTACAACCGACCAAGTATTTTCTTATGGCCAGAGGTTATTTTAATGTTTCTCTTTGTAAATATTGTACGGCAGCAGCCGTCTGTTAAGCTATTTAATATTTTCTACTGCACTCGCCACACGCTAATGTCGAATTTCTGATACTTTATATATCGAGACGTCCGCGTCGTCGTAAGTTCACCTGTGATGTAAGTCGTGCTTTCGTTCTACCGCTGGGGTATTCCGCGTACATTTATAGGTTTACCTATTTAGTTACTTGAATTTTAAAATATTCCAATAACACATATCTCGAGCGATATTTGAGTATATTGTAAACGCGTTTCTACTGCCTTTCGAAAACGGTGATATGCTTAGTCAATTATTTAAGATTATAACGACGCCAACTCAATGGGTTTTTTTTATTGTGAGCTTTCTCTTTCCTCCTGTTCTCGAACGTGTAAGAGCGGCGATTCAACTTATAACTATGTCTAGACGGACGACGCTCTCGCTACAATTCAACTTTCCTCTCACGCCACTGCTGAACTCGATCGAGCCCGGCGCTCACTTCTAGACATACTTATAAGGACGGGTCCGCGTCTCCCGAAATGTATTATGAAATAATGATCGTTTATGAAGAATCGAGTGGTTTCATTTGTCGAATATCCCCAGGGCGTAAATGAGACGACACGTCGCTTAACTTTATTTTAATATATACAAAAGAACAGAAGCGGACGGCTAGGGGCGGGCGGCCTGCGGCGGCGAGCGGCGCGGCACCGCCAGCGCAGAGTGCTGCGACAGCGCCGAGTGCGCGGACGAGCACAGGTCCTGGTAGGAGAACTGCGGGAACTCCAGGGGCCGCGCCGCCTCGCCCTCGGGCGGCGTCAGCTCCACGGACTCGCCCGTGAACTCCGAGTCGAAGTAACGCGTGTCCGTGTCCGAGTCCACTTGCGGCTTGAAGGGCGGCGGCAGCTTTTTGGCGAGCAGGTCGGCCCAGTTGATGGCGGCGAAGAAGGGGTGCTGCATGATGTCCAACGCGTCGCCGGGCCCGGCGCCGAGGCGTCTGGCGGGCTCCTTGGTGAGCAGCGCGGCTAGAAGCGCCCGGCAAGCGGGCGACAGCGCGCGAGGAAAGCGCACCTCCTCCTCGAGGATGAGCGAGAACAGCACCTCGTGGTCGCGATTGTAGAAAGGCAGGCGGCCGCAGGCCATCTCGTACAGCACGACGCCGGTGCCCCACCAGTCCACGGCGGGCCCGTAGTCGGTGTCCTCGAGCACCTCGGGCGCCAGGTACTCGGGAGTGCCGCAGAAGGTCTTCGTGGTGCGGCCGTGCGTGATGTTCACCTTGCAGAGCCCGAAGTCGGCGATCTTGATGTGGCCGTCCTTGTCGAGCAGCAGGTTCTCGAGCTTCAGATCCCGGTAGATGATGCCCTCCGAGTGCAGGTAGCCCAGCGCCGACACGATCTCGGCGCCGTAGAAGCGCGTGCGCTCCTCGCTGAAGCAGCGCTCGTGCGAGAGGTGGAAGAAGAGCTCGCCGCCGTTAGCGTACTCCATGACGAAGCAAACGCGGTCCGCCGTCTGGAACGAGTAGCGCAGCGCCGTCAGGAACGGATGCTTCGTCTTCTTCAGCACGTGGTTCTCTGTGATGGTGTGCGCCAGCTGTGAACAGGTCGGGCGTGAGCGAAGGCTCGAGCGGACGCCGCGCCGTCCGACGGCGACTCACCTCGTCTTTCTGCAGGATGAGGTGCTTCTTGAGGATCTTCATGGCGTACAGCTTGCCGGTGCCCTTCTCGCGACTCAGCACCACCTTGCCGAAGGTGCCCTTTCCGAGCACCTTGACGAACTCGAACTTCTCGAGGGTGATGCGGCGCGGGTCTCGGAAGCTGGTACCGAGCTGGGCTATGTCGTGGTCATCGGCGTCGGAGCCCGCCGGCTGCTCGCCCGAAGCACCGCTCGCGCCGCTCAGCCTGGACGACACGTAGCGGATGGCGGCCACCCACTCTTCGCTGCGTATCTCAAACAAATTTGCCGCGTTCTTTATCGAATATATTTATTGCAATATACTAATGACTTGTTTTATTGTTAAATGGAAAAGAAAGGAATTCTTTACAAAATTGCAATAATATTGTCATCGACCATGCCAGCAAAAACAAGGCAGAAAACTCTCACTCCTCGAAGTAATAAAAGAAAACAATGTTCCTCTTGAATGCTACTTCTCTTAGAATGTATGTCATATCTGTGCCATCTTTAAAAAATATATCACATTTGTGCCCATTTAAGTTTATATTGAATTATTGAAAAGTAATTTATATGGAGAACTCGGTATGAAGTTTTTTGAAGTTATATTAATTAACAAAAAGATACTAAAAATAACATGCAACTATAACTAAAACTAAATCTAAAGAAAAGTTATAAATAATAGTATGTCTAAACAGACATGTAAAAGCTCAGCCTAAGGTTAATTGACTCACAATTAATATATAAAAGTAGTAGCTAATCACGAGGCAGAAAAAAGATGATCAAAAAAGGAGATTTTTAAATAAATTTAATGACTGAGCTCGTCTGATATGAATAGATAAGGAATTCCATAGCAGGATACTTTGCTTTGAAGGAGGAGTGAGGAGTTTCAAGAATTAGTTTATCTAAGGAACGCAAATTAAAACTACCGCCAGAGAGGAACATAAAATTTTTCTTTAAGTAACTAGGGGTTTAAGGATTAAAAAGAACATTATACAGAATTTGTCAAATGTGCATCTCACGCCGCAATCGAATGGGTTTAGCCAGTTAAGCTTTCTTCGGAACTCCGAAATATGATCAAATTTACGAAGTCCAAATATGAATATCAGATTCATTTTGTAAGCGCTCTAACTTATCACGCTGCAACAACAAAAAATTGCGTAACTTATTAAGCGCATGAGACGAAGAAAAGTTACCAATAGTAATGGGATAAAGTTGACCAATTAATTCTCCTTATATACGATGCACTCCCAATGATAGTGGACTGACTCTTATTAGGGTTTATCTGAAGACCATACGATTTACTCCATTCAACAACTTTGTCTAAATCAAAGATTGCCGTCTGAATAGCAGAGGGCAATTCATTAAAAGTAGACTGATTGTATATTTGAAGGTCATCAGCATAAAGATGAGAGTTGGAATACAGTTGATTTGTAATAGAATTTATAAAAAGCGAAAAGAGGAGTGGAGAAAGAATACACCAGCAGAGACATGACACCAAGAGGAATAGCAGTCGGTTATTTTAATTCGTTGCTGGCGATTGGATAGGTAGCTTTTGAACCAATTAATCACTGACGGGGACATATTAATAGTACGGAGCAAGGCAAGAAGAACATCAATGTCTACCGAATTAAAGGCATTACTAAAATCAAGCAAAGTGAGTATTGTGAGTTTTTTATTATCCATGCCTAATCATAATATGTAATCTTAGTGAGTGCAGTAGCCGTACTGTGCCCAGGACGAAAACCAGATTGAACTGAATTAAGAAGGGAGTGTTCGTTGAGAAAGAAAAGGTAGGATGGAAATATGGCGATAATCAGAATAAGCAGATGTTGAAAATGTGTGCTAGTACCGGAATTAATATGTCAACAATAGGAAGGATCATATCCCGACCAATGCAATCATAACCAATGGCTTTGGACGAGACAGACATGATACTCCTCCCTATTTCGTCTTCTGTAATTGACTGGAACATAAAAGAAGGAATATTCGTAGAAGGACAAAAGTTAAGAGATGCAATGGTTTGAGATTTAATGCTTTGATCAAAAATGAGATGACGGGAACAATGTTGATTCTTAGGAAATTAAGCTATTAAGTACAAGTATGTATGAGTACTATAAATATGGAAACTATAAATACACACACACATACTTGTATACATACAACTACTGTTTAAAATGTATAGTTGTGTCTCTTAGATATAATTATTTACTTTTGACTTTAAATGGCACAAGATTTGGCTAGCATTGAACTATTAATAAGCATAACTTAAGGCGAGGGGATTATACATCTATTTTTACTTAATCAAATGATTTAGTACGTAAGTCATATAAATTTAGAAGTAGGCAGCCTTGTCTGCAGAAGACAAAAATATATTGAATCACTTAAGTACTGTTATATAAAACAAGTATTGTTAAATAAAATACACTAATAATAACAACGAATACATCGACGTGACCTTAGTGGTAATCATATTTTGTTTATATGAAAATTCATACCATGACCTCGAAACGGAACTACGCGGTTTTTAAAAAAGGTAATTTTTGTTATATGTATTACTTTAAAACATAATAAATATATTATATTGTTTTATTTAAAACAAATACTACGTCTAATATGGCAAAACCAGCATTATGGATGGATGTCAGATATTTAAGGTGTTGAGTTTGGACTGATATAAGTAAGACAACAGACCCCTTGTAGATTTTAGTGTACACATAATAAATTGCTCAGCAAACTATTCAACACTTAATCAACGAAGTACCGGAGTCTATCGGTAAAGTTCAAAATAAGTTTTTGAAACACGGGAACACTAAGTTTCATTTCTGAATATCACCCAAAAACATGCATCGATTGAATGAATATATTAAGACATAAACATATTGCATATTATAGTAATATATGTCGTTTTTATATTACTTAATAGAAGTTAAATCTAGAAGATTTAGATATCAGACTGTTTATTATAATATTCAATTTATTGATGAGGTACAAAGTATAATAGGTGAAAATGTTGTATTTTATTTTTAACAAGCTTCCAACAATTTCAAATATTTCTTTATTATGTTCATGAAGTATATTGTGGTTCATTGTGTTATGCAATTAAAATAGTTATTTTTCATATTCATAATATGTTAATAATATCCACGTAAAATTATTACTAATAACATTTTTTATTCATTACAGGTTGACAGTATTGAGATAGATATGGATGTGTCAACAAACAATGTTCAATTGGGGCTCTTCTTTGCAAACTTGTTTGGCAAGTGAGGAAGTCAAGTTGGACCTGAAAACAAATGAATATTGGTTATATTAATTATTTTATAAATAAAATAGATTTATCTTATTTTTATATTAAAGATACTTATGATTTATGAGTTGTTTTGTTATCAATATAGATAATCTAGATACCTGCTTTCAAATCTATTGTCTGCGCACACCCAAATAAGGGTTTAGGTGTCCCCACATACACATCTTCCATAAAAACTCTCTAGTTTGGGATTTCCTTCTATTTAAAAATCTTCATGTTATCATGTTCAATTCTAGGCACATTACAATGGAAGGGTTTTCTGTAAAATAAAATAATTTCTTAATAATTGAATAAGTTATAACAATAACATATTAATTAACAACTTGATTGATTGAATAACATATTAACAATGATTAACAACTATATATACAGACACTGCTATTTTTTTTAAGAAAAAATTGTGAATGAATTATACTTACCCCATTCTTTTAAACTTGAATTATTAGTAAAACTAAAATCAACCAGAATTTCAAAAATGTGAACAATCATAGCACCAAAATAGTTTTTGTTTTTATAAGCATGTTTTTTTATAATATAAGTTAAAACACAATGGTAACTGATGAATTATTTACCATAATTTTAAGATTTAATTATCAAAGGATTTATTATAATAGATTTAATTTATTATTCACTGTTGCAGCAAGTAGGCTATTAAATTTATATATTTTAATTATTTGTATAATATAAATTGAACAAAACTTAAACCGAGATCACACATGAAATTATTGTTCCTTTGTTTGGTCTGTCCAATGTCTTTCAGTTTTTCGGAGGTCATGGTATAAAAATGTGATTAAATTTAGAAACCAGAGAAAATAGTAAGATGATGGAGAACTGATTTTAACAAAGCTCATTGTAAGCTTCCAGGAAATAAATAATATCAGAAGTATCAATGGATTACAATTTATCTATTATTGTTAAGAAATATTGTGACAGCCAATTGGAAACATATGTCAGCTAATACTTGTTCAATAGCTTTAATAAATTAATTTATGTATTTATTTACAGCCAATACATGGCCAAATTTCCACAAAACATATTTTAAAACTATTATATTAATAGCCATTAAAGCAATTGTGTACATCAGGCATACTAAACTGGGCATAAGTGGTAAAGCTCATGCAATACTTTCTCTTTATTAGATTTATACTAATAATATTGATTGATAAGATACATTGTTATATACATATAAACCTTGTTATATTTGTTAATATATATAAAGTACCAAGTCCATATGATTTAGTGTGGAAATATTATATTATATGGGTATATTTAAGACCATTATTCTATTAGATGAACAGTCTGTATTATGCTCTAACTATTGAATTACGCACTATGCACCACATTCTTGAAGACATAAAAGAGGAACAATCTCACATTATCTTTTTTTATGAATGTTCTTAATCAGTTTGTCTTATATTCACACAATAGCAATTTTCATGATTTCTAATTGTTGTGTCAACATAAATATACATCATTTTCAGTTCACTAGTTTTTGACTTAATTCATCAGACACAAATATAAGCCCATTAATAGTACTTTGTCTAATTCCATCCCAATATTGGGTTGCTCAAAACATAATATTTACAAATAATATTGTTATATTTAAAGACAGTGTAGTCATAAGTCAAAAGCAGTATGGGTCAGCTGAACAGCAATAAGTTTGCACTCTCAATTGTAAACAAACAAATGTCGAACTTTGGACTGAGCGTGTGACTCACCGCTCCTTCTCGGAGTCGACAGCAAAGTTCCGCTCTATGACAGTCGTCCACTGCAGGCCGCGAACGGTGAAGACGTTGGGGCGCGGTTTGTCCACGGCCATGATCTGACAGTCCCGCACCGTGAACTTATTCAGCGGGTCGCGGTAGTTGTTGCGCTCAGGTTGCGCCTTAAAGCCCATTAGGTCGCCGTTGTCGAACAGTATGAAGTAGCGATCACGCCAGTTGCGAATATGTTCACCACGCTTCAGCAGCCAGCCCTCCTTCACGATGCTCCCGGGCGCTGCCTCCGCCATCGCTCAAAACTACTCTCACCACCACGTTTATTTTCTTTTGCACTGCCCACGTGTTTCACCTTTGCTGGATAACACTAAAGATGCGCATACGAAACATTTTCGACATAAAACAGTAGTTACACCGATTCTATTGCTTTTTCATTTAAACGATGAAGTTTCACGGTCATATGGTGGTACGTATGGTTATTTATTGTTATAATTAATTTACAGAGAATGATTAAAAATATACAATATTTACTGTGTGCAAATCAGATTCGAGAAAAACAGAAACGCAATAATTCAAGGAGACAAGGAGTGTAAAATATCTATGTGTAAAAAAGAGACAAAACACCACTGTTTAGTCACAACAAATGAAAAATATGTTAGGATCTTTGATTCTGGCAGAATATTATCTATAATTGTCTTTGGGCATTACTCTATGCGGAGTGTTTTTTTTTTTGGAGTTTATGGCGTGGTATCTAGACCTTTAGGCCAATGCGGAGTGCTCCATTCCGTGGACTATAGATGAAATATATTGGTCACCGAGACATTTTATACAATATATTTATTATATTATATTTGTGATGTGTTTAATTAATATTAATACAATAATTTGTAACTGTTTCCAACATCAAATATCCTGCGAAAATTTGCAATAAAAATCACGTAATTAGAATCATATAGCCAATCATTGTCGAATCCTAATTGAAATAATAAAATACAACAAAAAAACTACAAAACACATATTTCATTTCATGGGTAATGCGTGTTAGTTTTCATAATTATCAGGTCTTGTTCTGTGTTGCCAATATAATATAATATTGTTGGATTCTTCTAATATTCGTCAATTTTTACTTTTAATTAGATCTATGATGATATTATACACTTGAACTGATTACAAAATATGAGACATAAAATGATTTTAATATGTTCGAAAAATTATATTCGCGTATATTAATGTTTCCTTCAAATTTTTTTTTATTGGTTTCATTCGGATTTTGTTTATTTCTGGCAGAGTAAAGCGAAAGAGACACAAATATGTCTCCCATTTACCATAAAAAATAACAGCGTTAATTGAGAATTAGAATATTATTACAGCATTATTCCTGATTGCCATAGGTATAGAGTTTTCCTGAGAACTCCAGTGTAATAAAAATATCGATCAATAAATTTGAGATGGTTTAAGGTAAAACTATGTCGTAGGTATCTTCATTCGCAAAAGCCAATAAATATGTTTTTATTCAGTTATAGATCGAGCTGGAAAGACATGAAGGAAAGCGGGTGGCGCAGGACGGGCGAGGAGTTACGTAAGCGAGACATGCGCAGTGGTGGCGGCGCGGGTCGATAGGGGCGGCACTGCGCGATGTCAGTCGCGAGCCAGACGCCTCGAGCGCCCTACTAGCCTTCGCGTGTTTCCGTGTCTCTCTATTGCGATGAAGGTACGGCCGCCATAGCGGTCTAGGTCCGAGTAGCTTATGGGCAAGAGCTTCACGGGCCCGGTACGTGTAGTTACTCGTACCTGATCTGACAGACGACTCTTCGGCCTTCGCCAAGATTTCATTACTTTCGACCTTGTTTTGTCGCTTTTCCTCGTCCGTGTCACATATTTCACAGCCTTTAGACTCTTTTAACATCTCTATTACATCATAATAAACATCGTTTAATAAATTTAATGAAGTATGTGACTTAACTCATCTATTGTTGGTGAAAGGCAAATAAACCAACCAACTCCCTATGATATAAAAAAGTGATGTGCAGACGAACTTATGACATTTACATTAAACGAGTATTTTTTTTGTAGGATGATAAAAATAATCTATTTAAATTATTTGCATTTTTTTTCGCAAGATTGTAAAGACTTTTACTTACAATATATTGTTTTCTTTTCCAGCAAATAAGAGAGTATTCCTTAATAACATATAATGCTAAAGCTACCCAAAGGCCTTAAAAAGAAGAAAAAAGGAAAAAAGTCTAAGCGTAAAGGTGAAGAAGAACTCTTCACTGAAGAGGAATTAGAGAAGTATAAAAAAGAACATCAGCAAAAAGCTGAAAACGCTGGCACTACAAAGGAAAATGAAGAATGGTCTAAATTTAAAGATTTAACCACTGGTGTAGATTCTGTATTAAAAAAAACTCAGGGTGATCTTGATCGAATAAAGTCAACATCTTTCTTTCAACGAGTGACTATTAAAAATGAAATAAAGCCAGCAGAAAAGGAAAAGCCGGTCAGACCAGTAGTTGAGGTTACTGAAGCTGACTTTCCCCATCTTGCGCAGGCTAGTACCGCAGAAAACGACGAGGATAAAAGTGATTACGGTGTTACCGACGATGAGTCTGAAGAGGAAGATGAGGATTATGACATTTTCGACACGTCTTATATAGACGCGGTTCAGCGTGGAGAAGTGAAACTAGCCTATGTGCCAGATTCTCCAGAAGAAAACCAAGACGACGACATATTTGATACATCTTATGTTAATGCCATAATAAAAGGTCAAGAAGTAAAGTCTTCAAAGGGTAAAAAAGAATTAGATATCGGAGTTGCTGTAGAGGTTCTCACTGGACGTATTGATAATGTTAAAGTTACAACAAAGAGAGCTAAGAGGACTATACCAGGTGATTTGTTATTAGAAAGTGACGATAAGGCCACTTCAGCTGTATCGAGTTATGTAATTGAGGATCCTGTGGAAAAAAGTATTTTAGATCTTGATGCTGATATACCCATTACAACACCAATAGATTTAAGTACATCTTTAGTCGAACACATCAAAAAAGAAGTACCAAAAGATATTCAAACCGAAGATAACGCTACCGTTAATAATTGTGAAGAAGAAGTTGATGAATTTACATTGTTAGCTGCAGAATCTCTTGAATGCAAAGTAGAAGTATCTAAACTTGACGAAAGCGATATTAATATCGAACCAGTAATACAAGAAGCGTGGTCTGCTTTTGAAGCGAATTCAAAGGAATCAGTTTTTGCGGAAGGAATAGTTGAAGACCAACTTGATGTTTTAGATCCATATGTCGATCAGGATGACCCCTTTGATACCAGTTTCGCTGATGCTATTGTTCCGCAGGCACAGTTTAACAACACTCAAGAAGTAATTTTAGAGGATGATGACGACTTTGATCCCCGCGCAGAAGAAGTGAAAGTAAATCTAAATAACAGGAGAAAATCTTCTGTACGTATTCATTTGACAGACCCTTCTGGGATTAGAGAGTCTATCACTTCTGATGATATTATTGATAATAATTTGAATAAACCTGGACGTGACTTGTTAGGAGGAAGCACTACAGATCTTACACAGCTAGCTGATTCTCCTCTGAACCCAATTGAAGTCAATGAAATAGATCCGTTTGATACAACAATAGTCGATAAAATAGTTGCACCTGGAAAGATTGAGTTAAAATTACTCGAAAAAGAGTTAATAGATTCTACTCCTGCTGCAATCTATAAAGTTCCTAGTGATCCAGACTTTGATCCTCGCGCAGACGAAATAGAAGAAAGAAACTCAGTTAGACGATCGTCTCGTCCAGAAAATTTAACAGTCAGCAAAAGCGTTATATTTAACGTAGACGGGACTGAAGAAAATTCTTGCTTTGATAAACAGTCTAAGCCAAGTAAGCCTTTAACACCATATTACACGCGAGAGCTATCTATCTCAGAGGACTTATCCGAGGATTACGAAGCTAAAGACAAATTCTCTAACGTTTTACAGCGGACACGTTCTGATGACGATTTGTCCTCTCATAATATAGCAGTAAATACTAAAAGACGCCATTCTGAATTTCCCCAGACAAGCACAAAAGACTTTCCCACTGATCTTCTTCAAAGCGAGGGTCTTGATATTAAAGTAAAAGTTTTAACCCCAGCTGGTGCTCCAAGTGACGAACAAACATTCAGTACTGAATCAGAAGATCCGTTTGATACATCATTCGCCAGTGACATCAAACCAAGTAAAACAGAATTAAGACTATTAGCTAAGGAGTTTTCTTGCGAAGATTCTACTGATTCAGAGACGAAGGAAAATAAAACGTTACTAGAAACAGAAGACGATCTTTTCCAGATAAAAGCACTCACACCTGAACCTTTAGATAATCTAGAAGCAGGTGGTCAAGATTTTGATCCATTTGATACATCTTTTGCCAGTAATCTGGCTCCGGGAAAAACCGAAGTTAAACTTCTCGAATCAGAATTTTTGAACTAGTTTATTTTTGTTGAAAAACAAAAAACAAAATGGCATACAACCCTTTTTTGAGTATCAATGAACCAGCAACTCCCATTACTGCTGAAGTTCTTAATCCTTTTATGGTGACGGCCAATAATGACCATGAAGACATGGCTGGAGGCGATAATCCATTTGCCGCAAGCAATCCTTTTTCTGATTTTGATAATAGTTATGAACCACCCGTGGGAGATACAGTTCCCATAGACATATTTGGCAACTCTGAGCCTGTTAACATGGGTGCTAAGCAATTCGATGATAACAGCTCCACAAATATTTTCCATCAAAGTATCGAAGAACCTTTACCAAACGAAATAGTTGTCAAACCAACAGAATTAGATCTGGTTTCTATTAGAGAAAACGATAGTTTCACACCAATTATTACAACCAACAATCAAGATCTTGTGAGACCAGTTCCACAAGAAACTCAAAATTTGATTCTTAGTGTCACAGGTCAAATGGAGTTTACTAGTTCACATTTGCTTAATCGTATACCACCTACAAGAACGCCGAGTCCAGTTTCGGTTCGTGACATTCATTCGCCAAGTCCGACGCCTGATTTAGACATGTTAGAAGATTCACAAGTGGCAGATTCCAATATTGATCTGAGCTTGACTCAATCCAGACCGGCGAGACCACCTCCGGTTCGCCCCCCTCGACCGGCTCCTCCACCTAGGCCACAGCTCCCACCACCAGCCCAAGCTACCACGCTAGTTGATGACATTAATCTTTTCGAAGCTTCTGTGCCAGTAGTAGTAAAACCAACTAAAGAAGCAATACTGAGCTTATATGCAGCCCCTAAGAAGGAAGAAAAACCTATTGATTTTTTGAGTGATGATATAATAGATTTAACGTCCAATCCGGAACAATCTTTAAATATAGTACCAACCTCAAGTGAAACTCCAAATGAAACAGAACATTTATTATTTAGTAATTCTTCAACAATGGTTAAAGCATCTATTCAATATACACAGTCGACTGAATCTGATATGACCGTAGACGCTATGGATCATCATAATACTAACGCCGATATGGATACGTCAGAACCCACAGTTGAAACTATTGAAAATATTTCTCAACCATCACCCTTTATATTAACAGAGAGCAGCATGGAAGTGAATCAACCTTATTCTGAGATTGATAAGAACCCCTTTGATATAACTGAAGAGGATATTACAACAAATGTGGCATCCGATATTTTTGGAGTTAGAGAAGTAAACGCATCGGTTTCTCCAGTCAGCGACACATTCCAAAATTTACCATCAGAAGACCGATCTCTTCAAGATACTCCTATCGGTGAAGATAGCGGACCAATTAAATCGACTCCTAAACAAGATGTCGATAATTCAGCTAACTTTGGATGGGGTCAGGCGGAAGAAATGATTCAAGAGACTTTTACCGAATCTCAAGATGCTTTTGATGCGTTTGCTGCCAAATTTGATTCAGTGGCCGGAAACCATTTGACCGCAGGTACGTTGAGGTCCCGAGGCAAAAATATAATAAATAATTTTATATTAGTATTCTGATAATATTTTTGTTTTTATATTAGACGCTTGGGGCGACGATGGCAGCTCTGACGCGGCGCCGGAGGGATTCGAGTCGGAGGCGTTTGATCCTTTCCTGCACATGCAGGCTCCACCGGCGCCCGCTGCCACGCCACGCCTTGACCACCAAGGGTCCGCTGATTCCGCGGATGACACGTTTTCCGTGTTTATAAGGTGCGTATCCGGTGCATACGTTTATTTATAAATGTCGAACATGATCTTTTCAAATAAAATATGTTTCCATAGACCCAAAGACAGTGAAGTAGTAGTCGACGGCAGCGCAGTGCCGGCGTTAGCGCCTCCTCCGAGGCCCCAGATAGCACCGGACTCGCCCAGAGCCAACCCCTTCGATAAGAGTGCAATAGACACTATACAGCAGCAATTCCAAGCGGAGCGACGTAAGCGTGAATTTTTTAGACAACCGGCATAATATTGCTTAGCATAGCATTCATTCAATTATTTGTTGTATGCGAGTGCTGTATAAAAATGTAATAGTGAACATTAAATTTTTTTCAATTGGGTTGCAGCGGAGTCCGGTCGCGGCCGCTCGGGGAGCGGCGGCGAGACGCCTCCCACGCCTCTGTTCGACGACGACGTGTCGGTCCCGCTCGAAGACTTTCCGCGCACCATCTACGCCGGCCCGGGCTGGGAGATGCATCTTAGACAACCCAACAAAAAGAAAATCACCGGACAAAGGTTTTTCGGACGCTCTGCAATAAATTTGTATTAATAAATTTGTCAATGTAAATCCTTACGTGTGGCGACAGGTTCTGGAAGAAGGTGTGGGTGCGCGTGGTGGGCGCAGGCGCCGGCGAGAGCCCGGCGGTACAGGTGTTGGCGGCGGCCGGAGACCGCGAGCCTCTGCACGAGTTGCCGCTGCAGGCTTGCTACTCCGTCTCCGACATCGCCGCGCAGCAGTTTGACCAATTCGGCAAGATCTTCACTGTCAAGTTACAGTACGTCTTCTACAAGGAGAGACCGGGAGTGCGGTAGGAGACTGTCTATATTATACCTATAGACCCGAAAAAAATGTGTTTATTCTTATCAACATAAGTTGAAATTATAATTGGCTCCTCATTATCCAAACTTATACTTAAGTGTCTTATAAATAGTATCACGAAGAATTAAGATCAAACACCGTCACGGCAAAGTAGACTTGGTGTGACATTCCGACGGCAGCCTAAAGTTTACCTAAGGTTGTAAAGTAAGCAAATTGACTGCGTAGACCGGGCCAAGTGACGAAGGCGGAGCGCATCACCAACAAGTTGTCTCAATTCGCGGCATACGCGATTCAAGGCGACTACCAGGGAGTCAAGGAATTCGGCAGCGACCTGCGGAAGCTGGGCCTGCCCGTCGAGCACGCACCGCAGGTATGTTCGGGGCGAACGACGCGTCTCTCGATTTTCCTTCACATATATTTATTTATTTATACTTAATTGCCATAATACGCATAATTATACATATAGAAACACAAAAAGTAAGTAGGTTACATAAGTTATTAGGCAACGGGCGGCCTTATCGCTAACAAGCGATTTCTTCCAGGCAACCCTAAAATTGAACAATATAACAAATATAACTCTCCACTGATGGCCGGATGTGCGTTATAGGTGTCGCAGTTGTTCAAATTGGGTTCGCTCAACTACGAGCACGTCAAAGAGTTCTCTTGCTGCGTAGAAGAAGCGCTGTTCCGCATCGCCGCTCATCGGGACCGCGCTCTCACCTACAAGATGGAGGAGGTTTGTCACTACACACACTCACATCCTCTACTCGCATCAATCGTCTGTGACTGACTACTAACCGCTAACGACGGTTCGGTATCTTTGTACGTTTCTGTTCAGGTGCAAGTGACGGCCGTGGACGAGCTGTACGTCGAGCAGGAGGCGGACGGCGCGGTCGTGAAGCAGATCGCGCGAGTCAGACTGTTCTTCCTCGGCTTCCTGAGTGGTAAGACTTCGTCGGATTCTGGCATCGATCTCACGCTATCGGGTACATTGTGACGTACCGTCTGTCCGCAGGTATGCCGGACATAGAGCTAGGCGTGAACGACATGCGGCGACAAGGAAAGGAAGTGGTGGGGCGCCACGACATCATCCCCGTCGTCACGGAGGAGTGGATCCGCGTCGAAGACCCCGAATTTCACGCCTGCGTGCAGCCCGACGAGTTTGACAAGTGTCAGATCATCAAGTGAGGGGTTCCGCCTGAGCTACGTGACCCACTAAAATAATATTAACGCCACGTTTTAACGTCGGACGCGTGTCGCGCAGGTTCAAGCCACCCGACGCGTGCTACATCGAGCTCATGCGCTTTCGCGTGCGTCCTCCCAAGAACCGCGAGCTGCCCCTGCAGTTGAAGGCCGTGTGGTGCGTGACCGGCAACAAGGTACGTGCGGCGGCGGTGAGTTCTAGTGTCCTTCGTCGAAGGGCGTCACGAACCGTACCGTATGCGCAGGTGGAGCTCCGCGCGGACGTTTTGGTGCCCGGGTTCGCGTCGCGCAAGTTGGGGCAGGTGCCGTGCGAGGACGTGGCGGTGCGCTTCCCCATCCCCGAGTGCTGGATTTACCTGTTTCGAGTCGAGAAACATTTCCGCTACGGCTCCGTCAAGTCGGCTCACAGGTACTTGTACCCTCTAGCGTCCTCTAACTTTTGTCCGAAATCGATGCACCGGTTTAATACGAACCACTTCTACCCAGACGTACCGGCAAGATTAAGGGCATAGAACGATTTTTGGGTGCCGTGGATACGCTGCAGGAGTCGCTGATCGAGGTGACGTCGGGTCAGGCCAAGTACGAGCACCAACATCGCGCCATCGTGTGGCGCATGCCTCGACTGCCCAAGGAAGGCCAGGGTAAACGGATAAAGTTGTCGAAACGAATAATAGGCTATAATTATAATAATTTACGACGTTACGGGCCCTTTCTAGAATATCAATCAAACTTAAATCGAGTTTCAAAATCTGTCAACCCATTTTTTCTGTATGAAGTTTGTTATATTTGACGGCGCTCTAGACGAGTTTGCGACCGGAGATATCAATTTGAATATGACACGTCGTTTTTGAAACAGCAGCAGCATTCTAGCAGCTTCATTGCCTAGAGTGTCGTAATGAGGTATCAAATTGTATTATCATAATTCATTATATTGAAGTCAAATTTATAGAAACTTTCATTCATAGCACAAAAAAATTGAAATGTTATTCTTATATCTTCGACATTTGTTTCGAATTAAATAATATCTATTCAGCGCTTCGTGCGTTCAAAGCGATGACTTGATCCTAGGTGCGTACACGAGCCACAACCTCGTATGCCGCATGGCTCTGACGTCGTACGACCAGATCCCGGAGCAGCTAGCGCAGTGGGCCTACGTGGAGTTCACGATGCCGGCCACGCAAGTGTCCCACATGACGGTGCGGTCCGTCTCGCTGCAGAATCACGACAATGACCCGCCCGAAAAGTACGTGCGGTACCTCGCGCGCCACGAGTATCGGTCAGTATACGACGAGACGACCGGATGAGACTTTAGAGCTCTTCGTGACCGTCAATGTACCCGTGTGCTCGCTTTCAGCGTGGGCATCGAGCGCACGAGCGGCACTCCGGCTGCTGCTTACTCTTTAGCCGCGGCGGCGCCCGACCCCAAGCCGGAGCCCGCCCCCGCTGCCACGCCCATCGCGCCCGCCGCGCCGTCGTCCGACTCCGACTCGGACTAGGCCCTCAAAGGACACCGATCCTTCATTAGTAGGTTTCGATTTTATAAGAAATATAGAACAATAACTACTTTAGTAATCGTAATGTATCGAGTGGGAAGACGAATAACTTAGGTTTTCAGAAGTCGCCTATATCTATTATGAAAGCGATTATCTTATAAATAAATAATTGATATTGTGTATAGACATATAACAGATATTTTTCGAATTGAGCGTGAAATTAGTGGATTTGGATGTTTCCACCGCCCCCAGCACTCTGTAGATAGATTCGATGAGTACCTTTATACGTTTCGATGTGGGAGACCGAGGTTAGTAAAATGTGAACTCGGGACGCGCCACTACATTATCTAATCGCTAGATATTTTTGGAAATACCTAGATGGATCCAAGTATAACTTAAGCACAATTATAAAAGTAACTAAAATAAGTCGTATAAACTTACAATTACATTAAAATACAAAAAATGGCAGAGGACAACAATTTTGAGAGAATTTAAGGGCATCGAAATGTCAAAATTAGTATAAACTAAAACAGTTAAAATGAAATAAAAGTATATTGTATGTATTGTGTAGTTTACGGTCCTGATGTGTTTGTAGGTCAAGTAGAACAATTATAAACTTTGTGAGCAATAGGTATTGAATAAGCAATGGTCGCGAAAGTCACGTCTTCACGTGAGCTAGTTTCGCTAACTAAAATTTTAATTAATTTTATAAAATAAAGACAATTTCCTGTAAATACTTTTAGTTGAGCCTACGTTGAGTTTGTTTGTCTTTCGTTACCGTTACCATTTAAAATTGTTTGTGGGTGTTTGAATATTTTCTCTAGTAATATCGGTGTAATAATTGTAAAAAATTAGATAAGTCAGAGTTTGGCTCCATCTGTTACTTGTGACTCAATACTGATAGCTTACCGAGCTTGATGATTTTATATAATAGACATAGTATTATAACTGTGTGAATGTCTAATTTAAATGAATAAATATTATCTACCTACAGTATAGAGCACAAACTTCCTAGTGTGCGTTTATCTCCGCTCGGACAAATATTTAGATAATTATCTTCTTAAATATAACATGTTATATTATTAGAGTTTAATGAGAGTAATAATTATAATATCAAAGTACCTATATTCTGCTGTTGTACTTGAGTATGGGCTTATATTGATATAATCAGTAGATTGCGCTGTTATACCTCGTTCATAATTAAAAATATCTAACATCAACCGTATTTATTTATTTACACCCGAAAGCTAATATTTCTACTTATGATCAACCTTAATGTTAGTGATGTGTATATGGTGTTTATTATTATTGTACTGAATCATAACTAAATAAAAAAATAGAACACATTTCACATCCTGTCACAAAAATCCTGGTGCGGATTTGAGGAAGTTACGAGAGAAAAAAACTGCGTCTGTTAGGATCATCCAACTTGGAGTGCTGCTGTCCACATCCTGATGACAAACATAAACATTGGACATATCAATTATTACTATCAAAAACACACACACATAAACACACAAAATAACAATAATCAAAGAAAACAATTTAAAAAAAAAATATAATGAGAGATATAAAAAAAAATTCTACTTCTCCCATTCGGTATGTTTCAAGTGTGTAATGCGTGTGTGCTGTGGCTGTAATTGGCATTATGCTGAGGAGCAGAATGTTCCACAGCGCTGGTCATTCTGCCAGAGACCACAACAGGTAGGTTGCGCCTCAGTGGCAAAAAAGGAAAGAAAAGGAATGTAAAAACTTAGTAGAAAAAAAAAATTACTAAAAGTTAGCGGTGTAAGGAATGTAGTCTTGTATAAAGGTGTGTAGTAAATAAAATAAAAAGTTAAAAATAAGAATAAGTGTTGGAACGAGGACACTTATTTACGTAATTCGAGCGATTCACTCTAATGGTGGGTCCATTTGGATGCTTAGTCGCTCAATTCCCGTCTTCGACTCCTCTCGTCTAACCTAACCATAGCTGCATACGTCGTCCGTACTCTTATCTCTAGGTTTAACCTGTCAAATATTCTGTTAACACTGCATAATAAAATATTGGTTGAACTAGAAAATAGTTAACACTTTGTAAGTTAAAAAAGACTTTAAAAAAAAGGAAGACATCGATTAAGACTAGAAAAATAGATCCAGACAGGTAAGTTGGTAACTAAAAGGCACACTTGACAAGCTGCTGCGTCGAAAAATATTGTAATTAAATAGTTTCAGCACAACCAATATTGATTAATTTTGATGAAGTCGCATAGGTAGCGAACCTTAGCCCATCATAACGTGTATATTATGTCACCGTAACATATACTTCTCTCAAGGGACGGCCTCAACCGACGTAAGATGTTGTTCAGTAGTGAAACATACAAACCAAAAACCTCGTTGGGATGCAGAAAAGAAACAACGACAGAACTTATAGTCGGGACAACGTTGTATGTATATGGTAATAGAATCTAATCAGAAAAACAAAAATGTTATGTTACAATAAAATTTACCAACCTGATTTCCGGGTGCATTTTTTAAGAACAGGGCGTCAGGAGTTTGTAACGGGTGATCAATTTAGAGGTATAGGATTTTAAATTGAAATAAAACAACGAAAATTCAAATTTATAAGGCAATCTTTTTTATTTTTGTGTAGAACCATCCACGTCATTTATTTTTTAAAGATAATCCCTGACAAATGTTGCGGCAAGCAACTGCGCTTTAATTCGTCCATCCAATTAAACACCAATTTTGAATGACTCGTTCGATGACTTCGGTCGGTATCTCGCTAATAACTTCAGTAATATTGGCTTCCAATGCCTCAACACTAGCTGGTTTATCCACAAAACATTTAGACTTTACATACCCCCACAAATAAAAGTGCAAAGGTGTGATATCACACGATCTTGGAGGCCAATCCACCGGTCCGAGACGAGAGATAAATTGCTCACCGAAACGACTTCGCCGTAAATCCATTGTTTCACGGGCTGTCTGACATGTAGCACCGTCTTGTTGGAACCAAATGTCGTGGAGATCATGGGCTTCAATTTCTGGCTTCAAAAAGTCGCTTATCATGGCGCGACAGTGTTACCCATTCACTGTTACATTTGCGCCAGCCTCGTCTTTGAAGAAATATGGGCCAATGATTCCTCCAGCCCATAAGACGCACCAAACGATTGTTTTCAATGGATGTAATGGCAGCTCTTGAATGGCTTCGGGTTGCTCTTCAAAATAAAAAAAATAAAAAAATAAAATATGTTTATTATGGAACATAAGATACATGTATCACTTATTCCACGTCATTAAATTTGAAGGCTTCCCTACTCATCGGCAAAGAAGACAGAGGGTGTAGGCCGAGAGAAAAAGCCGGCGTAAAAAACTCTCGGTACTCTTTTAAAACAGCAAATCATCAAACAACACTTATTTAAAACAAATATCGCAAATTGATTAGAAGTAGCCTGTCTAGCACTAGTCCCAGGCCCTTTTATCAACTAGATAATCGTTGACTTTATAGTAAGCCTTTTTACACAGCTTTTCTTTAATACATTTCTTAAATTTATTGAAAGGCAGTGATAAAAGAGCCTCTGGGATTTTATTAAAGAAGAGTATCCCTTTCCCCAAAAAAGAATTACTAACTTTAGATAGTCTAGTACGGGGAAATTGCAGCCTGCGTTTGTTCCGTGTATTAACATTGTGCGTATGTTCTATTCTAGTAAACTTATCACTATTTTTGTATACATACATAATATTTTCATAAATATATTGCGAGGGAAAGGTAAGTATATTAATTTCCTTGAATTTATCTCTAAGAGATTCCCTACATTTTAAATTATAGATTGCACGAATAGCCCTCTTCTGCAGGATGAAAATAGTTTCGACATCAGCAGCATGACCCCATAATAATAAGCCATAAGTCATTAAGCTATGAAAGTAACTAAAATAAACAAGTCTAGCTGTATCGACATCAGTTAGTGAGCGAATTTTTTTAACCGCGTAGGCTGCAGAACTAAGTCTCTTCGCCAATCCGTTAATATGAGGGGACCACTGAAGTTTTGAATCCATGGTGATTCCGAGAAATACAGTTGTATCATCCAGATTCAATTCCTCACCGTTTATAATTGGTCTAGTATCCATAACCCTTGCATTTTTTGCACAAAATTTAATGCATTTTGTCTTTTTTGCATTAAGTAGAAGGTTATTCATACTAAACCAATGGACAATCGAAGACAGAGCATTGTTCACATCGTCAAACTTTGTTATTTGTCGTTTGATTTTAAAAATCAAGGACGTGTCATCAGCAAACAAAACTATCTCATATTTTCTCTCTACCATGAAAGGTAGATCATTTATATAAACAAAAAAAGAGGAAAGGGCCAAGAATTGAGCCCTGTGGTACCCCCATATCTACTGCCGACCCAGAGGACCTCTTACCATTCACTTCAACCTTCTGAGTTCTTCCGTGTAAATAGGAAGTCAGAAGATTCAGTGCGGTATTCTTGATGCCATAGTGGCGGAGTTTCCCGATTAAGGTCTCGTGTTGGACACAATCAAATGCTTTGGATAAGTCGCAGAAACCACCTAAAGCGTCATGCGACTCCTCCCAAGCCTTAACTATATATCTATATAACTCAACACCGGCATCGGCTGTCGAGCGACCCTTGGTAAAACCGAACTGATTATTATGTAATAATTTGTTTACGTTAAAATGACTTACCAGTTGATTTAATATAATTTTTTCAAATATTTTACTACAAGTAGGTAGTACGGAAATTGGTCTAAAGTTACTGGGGTCGGACATACTACCTGCTTTAAATAAAGGAATAACTTTACTATGTTTCATTAGATCGGGAAACTCGCCACTTTTTATACAATTGTTGAAAATTATAGCTAGATGGGGAGCAATTTCATCAATTATGCTACTAATTATTTTTACAGAAATACCCCAAAGATCGGTAGTGTTCTTAATATCTATGGTTCTAAATATCCTCGCTATATCGTCGGCACTAATGGGTCGGAATGAAAAACTGACCTTGCACTCGTTTACATTATCTTTGAGCAGCGATTCGGCGAGGGCGGGAGATGATTGAAGAGACTTAGTAGTCGAAATTGGAATGTCAGAAAAGTACTTATCAAAAACAATCGCTATCTCTTCGTTAGATTTGATTATAGTGTTATCGACACATAGTTCGATGTCTTGATTGCGATCCCTGACTCTTCCAGTTTCACTATCAATTAACTTCCAAGTCATTTTAGTTTTATTGGTACTATTTTTAATCTTGTTTTTGATATTTAAGGACTTGGCCGCGTAACAAACTTTCTTAAATAATTTCGAATAATTTCGAACATAAAGAATAAATTCTTCATTATGATTGTATGACTTTTCAGCGTAAAGGTCATACAACCGTTGTCTACTTTTATAAATTCCCGCTGTCGCCCAATCACTAAACGATTTACACTGCGAATGAGAGACTTTCTTTGGGGTAAAGATGGTTTCACCCCAAATATGGCAATTTTGCTTATTTACGTAGCTATTAAGCCAAATAGGCCCTCATCGCTGGACACAATTTGGGTCCCAAAATGCGGATCTTCGGCGAGTTTTCCAAGAGCCCTAAAACTGAAATTATGAGGCTTTGGAAGATCACCCGGCGTCAATTCTTGGACTGACTGTATTTTATACGCCTTCAAACCAATATCTTTGCGTAAAATCGCCCAAGTAGTGCCATAAGATAGGCCTGCAAGTTGTTGAGATCGGCGCCGAATCGATTCTTCCGGGTCTTCGGCAAAACTCTCATCTACAGCTACAATATGTTAAATTATTCTCGTGTTTGCCGATGGTATGCCGAATAGTGCGTTCGGTAGGACGATTATGTACACCATAAATTGGCCTGAGCGCACGATTAACACTTTTCACAGAGCGTCCATTTTCGTAATATAATTGTACGATTTGTAAAGTTTCTTGAAGCGTAAGTCTTTCCATAATGAAATGTCAATGAAAACTGATTAATATTATGTATTTAGTTCGACAGTAGTCACGCGTGACATGTCAATAAAATCTTATTGGAAAAAGTACCTCCAATTTGATCACGCCATACAAGTATAGCAATGTGGCTACAAGAGAGCACCGTCTTCGGCCACGGCTCGGCTCTTCATCATCTAGACGAAATTATTACAGGCTAATCTCTGAGCTCTACAGTTCTAGGTTTAACAGATAGGGACGGAATGTCTGCAGAGCGGCAGGATCAGAGGTTCAGGGTGTAGGCATTTTCTTAAGATATCGGGCAGGTGCGCCACGATATTAAAACAAGTTCCTTTTTGTAAATGTAAAGGACGAGGAGAATTGTACTCTAGAAAAACAATTTACGTATTAAGATGTATTACGAATTACAAGCTTTTGCTTTTCCTGACATACCTATACAAATCAAATTGTTGACCATCTGAATATGCAACTGCGAGCCTGAACCATGCTGATATGCTCTGTAAAATGAGCTCCTACATCGTAGAATAAGCGGCAACACAGAGACAGCAAAGCGCGTGCGCCAATTGGGCGCTTGCGTGCAGGATCCGGCAATTGCCCCTCTGCGCGGGCGGAATGCGGGCGACGGGCCCCACGCTGAGGTCGCGAAGCACTAACTGCACTCGCCCTATTAGTGTGGACTTGCTGCTCCGTCCTCCGTGCGGGGCCCTCGTGCATGCGGGGCGAACGTCTCCACTGCAGCTGACAGGTCAGTCGCTACCCGCTCACCTTCGTGTCAGTGAACTCCCCGACTCTAACCTATTAACCTACTCCGTTGAACTATTAACGTTTAATCCTGTTGCACGGTTACACTCGTCACGATTAACTTAAATGTCACTTATTCTCTCTTAAATGTCAACTCTCAACAAGAATATACTCGCATAGAGCGTTATTAAACAAATCAATATAATATGCAATCTCGAAACTCACAAGTTAGAATTAATTATAAAAAGCAGACACAACGAAATAACAATTGAAAGTTCTTTCAGGACTTCGCTAATTATAGTTACCACTCGGGTGACTGTAAATCTATACCTCAATTATATTTCAACAGAAAATCGGAGCATTTCATGTCTATTAGTTGTAAAGTGTACCAGAAGAGTGAATAAGAACATACATAATGTAGAGAGCTTTTAAATTTTAAGAGTACACTGGGATATTAAACCATTAAAGTTAACCGTTAGCATAATGTCACATTTTGATCTGCCCATTACCTGCCTGCTATATTGCATATAAAGCTATTAAAATGGATTTTCAGCTGTAATGTCGAGTACCGTCGCCGTATAAGCGAGTAAAGGGTATCCGTACGGCGGATGGCAGCCAGTGGCGGCAGTGAGCGGCGCCCTAGACGAGGGCCCGCACCCATCGCTTCGTTTGATCACGACGTGTCTGACGAGGTATTGACACAGATTTTTACTTCCTCTTACCAAAGACTGACATTGCACGTCAACACAATCTTTATTTATTTACCTTTAGCAATTTTTGAACCATCTTTTACTGTATCGGAGTGTAAGTAGAACTTATGTCTGTCTTGATCTACTTCCAGTCGAGTCCAGAAACAAAACAAACATTCCGACTCCCTGAGATCCGCGAGGATGCCGGAGGCGGCCTCGCTCCGCCCGAGCAGCGTGCGCGCTCGCACTCGTCACCGGCCGTGGGACTGCAGGCGCCTGCCGCGCCGCGAATTGACATCTCTCGCGCCTCCAGCTCTAGTCACCACGACTCCCGCGACAGCTCACCCGAATTGGCACTCTTCGTCGGTGCTGGCTCCGGCGAGGAGAGTCGTGCGAAGTTGGAGCTCGGTTTCCGGGAAGACGGAGCCCTCGATTTGCGCTCTTCTACTGAGGAACTCGCTTTTCTAGAGAACATACCCGTTAATGGAGAAGCTCGAGCACCACTCACCGCCCCTTCGTCGCGGAGACATTCTCGAAAAGATAGTCAAGGTTCGGAGACTGCGCTGTTGGCGGTCTCAGGACGAACGAGCCGACTCTCTAGTGTTGGCTCTCAGTGCTCCGCCCATTCGGCTGTGTCGGGATTCAGTCATACAAGTCGGGTTTCAAGACTGTCAGTTGTGTCTGGCATGTCGCGTTCGCCGTCACCTCACAAGATGTTACTAGAGACTTCGTTCTGTGGGCCAAAGCCGATAGAAACGGATCCTGAAATTTGTGCAGCCGTAGTCGAAGAAAGACTGCTAGAAATAGCTAAGTTATCAAGCGAAGCGACATTGTCGGCGCCTCCTGTAGATGCGCGCGACCGAAGAGAAATTCGGACAGAAGTTACACTGGAGAGCTCCAGCTTTCGAGCTACGACGTTGACTAAAGCAGTTTCTCATGTCCCGTCGGCACCAGAACAAACCCAAAAATCTGTAACAGTGCCTGTACCGTCATTGGCTTCTACTACGGAGACGATGACAGAAACAATATCTGCAGCAATACATCCCCTTATCACGGTACCAGCTGATGAAGAAAAGAGGTTAAAAGAGACGCGGAACCGTGCTCGCGTAGAAGAGCGTAAAGCGAGATCCAAGGAAAGCCGACATCAAGCAGAGCCAGAGGTCTATAAAACTTCTAATAGATCAAAAGATATTATTCGTATCAGACTCAAACCAGATGACGAATATGACGAAGTTGACGAGGAAAGTGACCGTACGTTAATAGGCATAGAGCCTGTTCGAAAACCGGCTACTTTGGAATTAAACGATAATAGCGCGCTAATATCTCAACCAGCAAGTGGCTCGGACTTACTGGTCATCACCCCACAGACGACGCCCAGGCGCCGCGACAGCCGCACGCCTTCTCCTAGCGGTGTGGCCGTATCACGCAAATCTTCGTTTTGTTCTTTATTCAAATCAAAAGAGACCATAGCTTCCCCAGATTCACCAGATGCACTTAAACGAAAGAAAAGTCTAAACGAAGGCCGTTCTCGCAGTAAGAGCAGAGATCGCTCCGTCACACCTACGTCAACGGGGAAATTAAAAGGTTCCGTATTATCGCTATTTAAAACACCGCGAAAGAGCGCGACGTCACCGTCGGCGAGTTCAAGAGATGCCTCGCCGGTGGTGCAATCGCAGCGACAATTTCCTCAAGGGCCATCTGATCACCAACGGGGGGAAAAACTTAAATATTATGAGGAATCTAAGGAAGGTATTATTCACATTCCTTTGCACACACCACCCGACGAGTTGGACAGCGTGAGCGACAAAACGGAACTCAAGACGCACGAGGTTCCTCGCCCTTCCTCAGCCCCGCAAATCAGGTCGACATCGGTAACTCCCGTATCTTCCGCCTCCTCAACTAAACCTGCACAGCGAACGGTATTACCCGACGGTAGCATTATTATTCCGTTACATTCTCCCACAGAGAAAACGTCAAATGCATCGATCCCATCTGAATTATCGAAAACAGTTCATAATAGTATAGTAAAAGAGGACCAAATCTTACGCGAAACAAAAGTTCTAAACGATAATTCATCGATCAATAAGAATCAACATTTCCCCGACGACACGGCGTCCATCCCGGTGGACCCGCTCAAGGCGAAACGTAGAGATCGCCTAACGTTCACGACGCACGTCGGAAGCCGGGAACAAGTATTCAGCACTCAGTTCAGTATAACAAAAACACCAAGCATCACGAGCGAAATATCGGGCTCCATCCCGAGTTTTCCGGAGAGCGAGGACGTCAGGATTGCACAAACGGAACAGGAGCCGGACGCGCCGGTCATCGAAAACAACATAAACTTAGGTCGCGCTTCGGCCGACCGCAGAGTTGACGAGTCGCTCGGCGAAGTGGAGAGTCTCGAATACCCGACACAGAGCCTCGAAGGATCGGGACCGGGAACTCCGCAAGATCCCGGACGCGATTCATCGGAATCGGAGGCCGGATCGGACGCTGTCACACGCGGCGGAAGCGATGCGGAGCGGCGTGGTCTCGTCGTTCAGGAGTCATTTGAGGAGTTGCCGTACGTGCCGACCACTCTGCCGCAAGAGCGCTCTTTGGCCGTGCCCATCGTGCCGGTGCGCGAACGCGGAGGGGTAAGCGTGGCGGGCGTGCGACGACCGCGTGCCTCGAGGGCGACCAACGCTCCCCCCTCGGCTCCGCTGCCGACCAACGCTCCACCACCGACATCGCTGGAACCCGCTCCGCCCTCCGCCCCACCCGTCGTCCCGCGCCTTCACATCCGTCTGCCTCGACGCCCGAGGGCCGCCTCGACCTCGGCAGCACCGCCCCGCCTCGAGAGACCGCGAACTCGCAGCGGGAGTGAGGGTGAGTAGACGTCGCGACATTCAGATGCGGCCGTGTCGTCTCATCCGATGTAGGACCGCATTAGTTAGTACGATTTACCTTTGCAGTGGGATCGTCACGCAAAGGAGAGTGGATTGATTTCTCGGAGGTGCCGGAGAGACGGAAGCAGCCCAAACGCATCCAGACACTGCCGGCGGAAGGTCGCGAAGCGCTGAGCTACGCGCCGCCTGAACGATGCCGCTGCGAGTGCCACGCCAACCCTTCGCCGCTACCCGCCGACGCACAACTCTTCACACTCGAGTAAAGATGTTTATTGTCTACTTCCCTTTATGACTTTTATTGCCATTTCAAATCAAATCAGGCGCACAGCGGTCTCTCTCACCATCGATATTTTCTCATACAAAGACAGTTGCAACAGTGTCGCATTATGGTTACACTGAATGTCATTAATTATAAAAATAAGCCAAACAAATAGTGAAGTGGAGAAACACGAAAGTTATCAAAGAATAATATGACAAACTAATCAAGTACCTATAAGAAAATCTACTTTAAACAAAATGGTCGCGGGTCGCGTAATTCGTGTTGTATGTACTCAGAATGGTTTGTAAAAACAGGACTGTGTCTGTGTCTTTCAAGTTTGGGAAATGTCTGTTTTACAACCAACAAGCGAGCAGATGCACAATAATAAAACTCCTCTTACTCCAAGGACGCACCTTAGCGTAGTGATACCAAGCTTTTGAAGTGTCTGGAAATTGGAATACGACCGCGCTACTGCTCCATACCCACTTTGTGCAAGGCGATTACTGCAATCCTATTTTCTTCAACCATATTTGATTGAATGTGATAATTAACACGAAAAAATATGTGAAATGGCGCAAAATTGAAAGAAGTTTTTAAAATATACGTGTTCCTAATTCAAAACAATTAAAAGTTGAAAAAAAAATAAAACTTGTATATATATGTAACAGCATTTATGGGGGCCTCATAGCCTAGCGGTCTTATTAAGTGGCAGCTAGGTGAGGGGTACCGGGTTCGAGGGCAAGTTTTAATTTAATTCAAATTTGTTCTCGGCCTTTGGGAGGGTTGTGCGGTACCGGGCGAGTGCTTAAACCGTACATAAAGGGCACTGTCGAATTTCTAAAAGACGAGCACGAATTATAAAAAGTCCTATACTTGACGCTGGCTAATGCACAAATCGTGCCAGAGCCATAAAAAAAAAAAAACAGCATTTATGGCTATTATTATTATTTATGGGTTTAGGCTTTTTTACGGTGCTGATTCATTATTTTACGTCTATAAAAACACCAAGGTGTAAACTAAACGTTGTGTATGCAATATACAATCACATTTTTGTCCAAATCCCAACTTGTTTCCGACATTAAAAATCTTTCGGTTCTTATACAGTTAAATAGCTAATTTATCCGAAGCCTTCACAATAGGCAATTATATAGTATGAAAGTTAAAGCGTTCTCGAGAGTAAAATAACTTCTAAATAATCAGTAATTAAAATAATTATTTTTGTCAGTCCGTCAAAACGGTCACAGATTCGAGTCATGACGTAGCATGCTTGTAAATAATGAATTCGTATATCTAATCCTATTACTGCTGTACCGGTCTTTGTGTTTAATTTCGTAATTTAGAATATTTGTTTACGAGTTCACGGGAACGGTTCAGGGACCGGTGTGATCCCATCTCGCCTAAGAATTTCGACGGGTTCTTGAATTCTTTTGTTCAACAAGAACTTTTTTTTTTTCAATTTGTAGAAATAACCTTAAATAATAATCATACGTCAATTATTACAATATAAAATCGTTTCTGACTCTAGGTCGGCCGAGGAAGAGCCGCAGAGAGGAGCCGCGCCCTTCACCGCCGACTTGGACCTCCACAACCGCGGCGATAGCGCGAGTCTTCCGACGACCGAGAGATAAAGAGAAATAAGCGAAGACCTGCCGACGAAGGAATCCTCGTCCTCGGGTTCGGCCGCCCCGACCGCTCCAATCTTTTTATCGTATTCTCTATTACCTAGAACCGAGTGGTTATCGTTTTGAAGGTGTAAATTTACCCTCTAGATATTATATTTATAGATTCCTTTGTAATTCCTATTCGCTACCGTTGACCTTCGATTTTGAATGTTTATAACTGTTAGTCTTTCGATTTGACAAATCGTATCGCGTGCGCGACGGAGTTCATTTTGAGATTTTATTGAATCTCTCGATATCGAATCGATCGACGCCAGACTAAGAACGAATCGACCCTAAAGAGATATCACAAATATATTAATTTTTTGCTTTCCGTTTTGTTTCATTTGATTCGTTTAATGGGTGGGATTTGGTTGAATGCAAAACGATGGGCGTAAATAGAAAACAATTTAATTTCTTACAGCTTCATACAAATGAGAATATTACTTTCGGTAATAAATGCAAAATATCATTTACAAAATGCCGCTGGGCGACGACGGGTCGGGTGATTTCTCAATAAATACAAATAAGAGGCGACGACGAGGCCGGCCTCACTTGAAGATCTTGCCCTGGTTGAAGGCGCGGCCCTCAGAGTCCTTTCCGCTCCACGAGAAGTAATCGCGCACGAGGCGCTCGGTCTCGGGCGCCTTCGGGTCCAGCTTGGTCCAGGAGTAGGATTCGTAGTCGATCTGCCAGTCGGGAGACAGCGGGAAGGCCAGATCTTGGCCGCGCCACACCCACACGCCCGAGATGCTCGAGTCGTTGTCGGAGCCGAAGAGGCACACCGAGGCGAAGGCCTGCTTGCGCATCTTGTCCAGGCGCTGGAACATGCCCGTGATGAGGTTGCAGCTCATGAACACTTTGGCCAGCTCCTCGGGGTACTTGTACTCGGCGAACCAGATGGAGTAATGCTCGGGGTCGAACTTCTCCCAGAAGTACGGAATCGACTTGGCTTCGTCCTCGTTCGAGTAGCACCTCTTGAAGTCGTCCATGTTGAAAGTTCTGAAAGGGAACGAGCCAACCGTTGACCGTTATGATCTGTTTTCGATAGAATATTACGAGCTCGAGACTCACCCTTTGGGCATCGTGTCAAATGGATCTTTGGACTCCTTAGGCTTTTCATCCAACTCATCCGGTAGCTCGGGTTCCTTTACTTCCTTCTCTTTCTTGGGCTGTTCTTTTTTCTCCTTCTTCTCTTTCTTTCCGCCCTCTTGCTGTAATTTACGTGTCACTATGTTACTATTTTTTAACTTAAGACTCGTGAGGAAAGTCGGACATATTTGTAAATGTGAGTTTCAATAAAGTGTATGTGTATGCTTTCATCAGAATTAGGAGAAGACCGAATACAGAATTGTCAAGTTTAGTATAATTTAAGGCCAATTTCAATAAATTATAAATAATGCGAACATTGAAGGATAAGGTTACGAGTTTGATAAACTATAGACATTATAATATAAAATGGTTCTACGTCATAATCACACCTTCTTGTCCTTGGTGAGTTCCTGGTACTTCTTGGGATCGTAGACGGGGGCCGCGGCGCACAGGCCGAGGGGCCCCACCACGGCTAGCACCTGCGGCTGCTGCGACACCGTCGCGAACCAGCGCTGCACGTTCACCAAGGGCTCTCGCAAGCTGGGCTCTAGCACGTACTGGAACGGAGCACGATTCGACATTGTAGGTCGTGTTACCGTTTAATAGATAGCTCATTAAGACAAAATATACCTGGAAGGAGTGAATGAGGGTACAGAACACGATGATGTCTGCCAACGAAACTCGCTCAGTGACGAGGAAGGTGCGAGTGAGGAGGTGGTCGTCCAACACTTTGAGAGCCGCCAGTAGGTCACTCTTCGCACGCTCTACGTTCTGTAAAGAATGAACTATTGAACGACTAAGCTAGGATATTATGCTAAATCTATTAAAATTATAGCTAAATTTATTAAAAATTTGAGAATGTATTTTATATAAGAGGATAGAGGTTTCAATTTGTTTTTCTATGCTTAAAGTTATGTTACACCTAAGTATAGATCCCTGAAGAAAAAATTATATAACCTCAGTTATTAAAATTCAGCGAGAAAAGCAGTTCTCTCAGCTCCGGTCTTTATTATTATTCAATAAAGTGTAATTTGAGCTTGTGTTAAGTGAGACTAATACATCACTTCTAGATATCATTAATTTTTAACCTGTTTGTTGAACTGCATGATGCCCAGGTAGGGGAAGACCCAGGCACAAGAAGCAGGCAGGAGTTCACTGTCCGCCCACGATGCCCACTGGTATACTGCAGCCTGACTTTTGAGGTCAGAGCCTCGGAGGGCCGCATTTGAAACTGAAATAAATTAATAATTCTATTAAATTTTATTTTTAATTTTAGCTTTACTGAAGACTAGTAAAAATAAACCTAACACTGGTATTTCAAAAAAAAATCAAGTGCTGACACAGTGTAATAACAAATTGACAGAAAGTACTGTAAATGAGTGCAATTAAACTAGTTTTAATGAAAATGTGACAAGAAACATCGTAACTAAATTCTGCACATTTAATGTGTCTAAAATTAAGAATATTACATTTCTTTTTGTATAATAAATTCACTAACAGGTAAATAACTACCTATATCATATCAAAATATATCAGAAAGAGTAATAATATCTGAGTGAGGCAGACCAGCGATTTTGAGGCTGATTTTTTTTTAGGACTTTGTTATGAATTCTCAGCACCATAACTAGTGGTGTTATGATGGCGCATGACTTTTTTTGTAAATAATAATAATAATAAATTTATTAACTATGTATTTAAATTTGATAAAGGTCAGAATTAAAAAGTAAAACAGGATATTCCAAAAAAGTAAGCGCAATCCGATCGCGCGATCCCTCATTATGAATTCTAATGAAGCACTAGAAAAAAAATAATAATTTAACAGATTCATAAAGTTAACAAGTAAATCAAATTTTTCGTGGGCATGTGTCTTAAATAAAGTATAATAACTGAGATAAGGAAATACTACCAATATAGTATTGCTTACTGCCTTGTCCTTCATAATGTAATTTGAATAGATTATGACAAGACCTTATCTAACCGAACCTCAAAACATAATCTAAAACGACGACACAATCAACAATAAGTTGGTTTAAATTAATTTTAGACCAACAAAAGTAAACTAAATAAGGTTATGATTGGTGTAATGAGGTTATGCTATACAACACATAAGGATATGTAAAATATAACGTATTTGAATAATTACCGTAGTAAGCGATGGCATTACTTTCAGTCAGAAGTACCTTTCCATCGGCACTTTCATACGCAGGAACCTAAAACATTACACGTCACCGTCAAAAATATTTTAGCACCAAACACTGACACTCCACTGGGACACTAAAAGATTTTAAACACTCACTTTGCCGGCCGGGAACTTTTTCAGAAATTCCTGGGACTTATTTGTTTCTCCAAATACAAAGTTCGGTGATACTTTAACATCAGCTGCGGAGTACTGTGCGGCGATCAACGCCTTATAAGCACGGAAGTTTTCCGGATAAGTGTAAAGTACCTACAACAAATAGATGTACAATGAACTGCCGACATTAAAAATCATGATTTCTTATTCATAACTTCGTATAGAACGCGTTGATCAGTAAGATTTTTAATGATATATTTCCACCTACCCCGGCCGCCATGGTTGACTTTTATGGAAAAGAGACTCTTGAAGGGGGTGAGCGCTGAGTTGTCAACTGTGTGAAATTGTCACATTTTGACATTTTACTTGTAAATTTTTTAAGGGTTTGTACCTACTACATTTATTTATTTATTTATTTATTTAGTTATAAAGCCCACAACATCACACACAGTCATAAGTCCACCAACTATTTCACAAAATCCCACATCTAAAATGTGTGACAGTTAATGCAAGCATAAGTTTCTCAGTAAAAAAATCAAATAGAAATTAAAAAAAAACACAACTAAAACACACACGACAATGCAAGCACACATTAAAATAAAATCAATTTTTTAACATAAACATAAAATAAAATCAAATTTTCAACAACTATGTGCAGAAAAAAAAAGAAAAGAAAATCATCAGAAAAAAAAGAAATTAGGTTCTAGAAAGGCACCCCACAATGCTTTCTCTAAAACCGATCAGCCCACTACCGAATATATCCAGCTCTGGATACGCTGTGTTCAGTTTGTTGAAATCGCGAAGAATTCGAACGAGAGGTGCCTGAACTCCTAGGTTGGTTTTGGCAGATGGAATTTGGAATATATTGTTAATTTTAAACCTAGGGAATGAGTAAGGGACGACAAATTTGATTTCCTGTAAAAGGTCACTGTTCTGTAAATGGTTGTTGAGCAATTTATACAAGAATGTAACACCGGCTAGAGCTCTCCGATTGTTAAGAGATAACATATTAAATTTTTTAAGTCGCTGATGGTACGGTTGTCTATGTGAAAATCCTCTGCTTATGAAAGCTAGGTGTCGCGTAAAAGATCTTTGTATGCTTTCAACGCGTTGCGAATGGATCGCATATAGTGGATTCCATATAATACTACCAAACTCAACATGACTGCGCACCAGAGCGTTGTACAAAATTGTTTTAGTCGTACAACCAAAACAATCCGCATTCCGTTTAAGAAATCCAAGCATTCGTGCGGATGTGGTGACTACTTTATTGACCTGCGATGTAAACGTTAATTTTTTGTCAATAATAACACCCAAGTCACGAATCTCCTGAACCTCCCTCAATGGCGCGCCGTCAAGCTTATACACAGTAACAAGTGGTTTTTTTTCTTGTGTATTTAATATGAAAGCACTTATTTATATTGAGGATCATACCATTTAAAAAGCACCAATGTTGTATACCATTAAGGTCACTTTGCACTAGAGCAGCATCACAGACAGTGTTAATAACTTTATAAATTTTTAAATCATCAGCGAAGAGAGACGATTTACAGTGCTTTATATGATTCTTAACGTCGTTTACAAATAGTAAGAATAGCAACGGTCCCAAATGAGATCCTTGCGGTACACCAGATCGCGCAATATAGGGAGTAGACTCAGCGCCTCCAACAACTACTGACTGAGGCCTGTTACGAAGATAGGACCTAAACCAGTTTAGCAAATTCTCTCCCATTCCATAACCACGAAGCTTCTGAATCAGTAACGCGTGACTGACTTTGTCAAAGGCATTGCTAAAGTCAGTATATATGGCATCAATCTGGCGCCCACGATCTAATTCCTGACATGTTTCAGTAACAAAAGACATGAGGTTCGTTTGAATTGAACGGCCTTTTCTGAAACCATGTTGCTCATCAACGATACAGCCGTCTAAACATTTGGAGATTACGGGATACAGGACAGACTCAAAGAGCTTGGAAAAACAAGATAAAATACAAACAGGACGGTAATTTTTTACGTCGGTGATATCTCCTTTTTATACACAGGTACAACACGAGACCTTTTCCATACTTCAGGAAAAACACCATCTTTAAGAGATCTATTATAAATAATAGTTAGGGGCAAAGATAACACAAATCTACATCGTTTTACAAAGATAGGAGGAATCGAGTCTGGCCCAGCTCCTTTGTTAGTATCAAGACCTTTTATTTTCTTAGATATTTCATCCTCTCTAAAGCTAAGGGACATTAGGCCGTCAACATTGCCAATGTCGTCTGGAGTGGAACTGCCAACAAGTGATTCATCACAAGTATATACAGATGAAAATTGATATGAAAAAAGATTAGCAATATCAGGTGATGACTGGGCTGTAACATTGTCCATTTTCATGCAAGAGGGAAGCGATGAGTGACCACCTTTCCTATTTTTAATAAAACTCCAAAAACATTTAGGATTATTAGGAATACTTGCCTCAATATTTCGCTTATATTTAGTGTAGCAATCATCATAAAGTTTGTGACAACGTTTTCTAATAATGTGATACTCTATTTCGTCTCGAGGATTCTTGTATATTCGATACCTCTTACGTGTTTTTTCTTTTTCAGCAAGTAATTTTATTAAGGAAGAACTGAACCACACCGGATACTTAGATTTCTTGATGGTCGTATAAGGTACAAATTTGCTTATAGTGGTGTTAAGAATTTTGTAGAACTTAGATACCATATCATTAACATCATCATGGGCGCGTAGGCTATCATTCCAATCAATGGTTTTCAGATCCCCTATTATAGACACATAGTCAGCTTTATAAAAATTTAGTTTAGTGTTACCTCTCGTTCGCAAAAAGGATATTTTAGAATATTCAAAACTTAACAATAAACTAGGATGATTCGCGTATATTTTACTTAACGAGTCGGAGGGGGCTGATACATTAATACTAGACATATTACTTAATACTAAATCTAAGAAACGATCATCGCTATTACCTATACTATTAAATTGCTTTAGGCTATTCATAGACATAAAATCAATCAAGGCAAAGCCAAGTGTATTGTTATAATTACAAGGTGTCATAAAAACTTCATTATTTAACGATCTCCAATCAATGAACCCTAGATTGAAATCACCTAGAATAATGACGTCATCGCTTAAGTTTAAAGCTCTGTCAACGCTGTCTAAAAAAATGTGTCAAAGTCCCAATCTTTACAGGAGGAGGTAGGTATACTACACATATCGAAAGTTTCTTTATTATTTTATTAATATTTATATGTAAGGTGACCCATAAGTCCTCCACATCCGATTCCCATGCCTCAACTCTGAAAGAAGAAATTTCTTTGGAGACTCCCAATATGACACCTCCACCATCCGATTTGGTAATGGTAGAACTTGAACGATCTCTACGATAAACAGTGTATCTATTGTCAAATAATTCCATGTTTGAAATACCAGATTCATTACATTCTTAAAACTAATCAAAATAATAAAGTCAATCGAAAGGAGCGTGTCCGTCAATGATTCGAGCCGTCCTGCGTTGGATGCGATCATAGGGAAGGAGTAGGAGTGGGTGCTGGGGAGCGACCGCCCAAAGGTTAGAGCAGTATTTCATATGGGGCTGAATTTGCGTTTTATACAGGTGCAAGAAGGGGAATGAATGAAGTACCGTTTCACCTTACTGCTCCCACCAAGGTCTTTGGAAGCTAGTTTATTATTATCTTCCAAATAAACACAGAATTGAACGTCACTTGAACGGCGAGAATTCCAATACTGATTTTGAGGTGTCATCAAATAATACGACGGAGGTATCTTCTAAGCGATGAACTTTTATCGACTAAATTAAGTGACACCAGTTCACCAGGCGCCATGTAACAAGAGTCGATTTCAGAAAGCAAGGGACAAGAACACACATATACCCAAAGCGAGGCGAGCAAGTCTCTTACTAATTTTACCAATATGCTCGGACTTTGCCCTAGCAATGAATGTTTCGAAGGTTGTAGAGGCCGAGTTGTAGTTTTTTTTGAGTTTGCTTTTGTTTGGGTTATTCACCGGGCTTGTTGTTGTTGTGCTTTCGACGTGATGCCGTTTTGCAAGAGAACCAGGATTTGGACTTGCCACTAATGGGCGCTGCAGAGAAAGAAATAAAAGTTCAATTCCCTTAAAAACTACATCAGTGACAGAGTCAGCAACAGCATCAGGATCAACTGCCAAAAAGCATATCAACTCCATGAATAGTAAGAAACAAAGAACGCATTCCGACCCAATTGCTGAAGTATATTGTCAAACGTGGGACTACCTACAAAATGAGGACCGAGGCCGACTAAGGCGGGCACGTCAGCACAATGCTTCAAACTAGGCAATAATCCAATAATTCACCACAAACACGTGTTATGTGTCCGCATTAGAAGTTATCGTTAGGTCCAACAGTAAAGGTTTATAACTGTCGAAATCTGGGGCCTGACACAAAATCACTTATTTACCTGAGCATGATAATAGCTCACGCTGTGACCATTTCTATACAAATGTTTGGCGTTATTGGGTCTCCTGTCGTAAGTGATTCTCGTGATTGAGGGCACCAAAACCATAGCATATAACAGATGAGGTCACATAAAATCATACTTAAACCGTAGATAGAGTATAAAACTAGATGAGCTTCTAAAATAACAATAATAACTAAAGAGAGAAGGCATTAACGTGAAATACTTAAGTGCGAGCGAAACAGAGTATCAGTTTTTCTGTCTCTATTTGCGTATCGGGTTTTATTTATTTGCGTATCACCAAGGGCTCGGTGGTAAACAAGTTTTCACCGCTTATTGATAAATCTGTGAAACCCAAGTCAAACCCATATTTTAAGACTTTATCCTTATAAGAGGTGTATTTAAAGTTTCAGTCATTGTGAATTGTTGCATAATTGGCTGTAAAGGCTATAGTGAACGTAAAGAACCAAACATAACTTTTCATCGGTAAGTAGCTTATTTTGTCATGACTCAGTAAATTTGTTCAAGTATTATTCATTCGAATGTGTATTTTGGTCAATAATAAGCAATCTTCAATGAATTAAAACTGTAAATACGACATGTGTCGATCATTCGCTATCCCACACGCTGTACGCTGATGCCTAGTCTGTCTACTACTTAAACGTTCTATTTGATAACTTGACATTTAATGTTTTATACTCCGATTGTCAATGTACAAGTGTCATTATCAAATTTTTCAAATCGATGCAAATTCAACAAATTGCAGTCTTGAAAAAAAATACCATAGTCCATAACTATTAAATTTAAGGCATAAGTTCTAGTTGAACGTGAAACGTGACATCTTACAATCAAATCCTTTATTCTCGTTAGGCTAAAAAGGTGTAAATTTATAAATTCTTAAAAATGGTAAGTACGCATATCTGAGCAAGAGCTTTTACAGGATTTTTTGACAGTCTAGGACAAAAAGATATAGTAATTTACAGATGTATCCGAAGTATTACCTATTTTATACATGTTTTTTTTAAAATCTTGAATTATCATTTTCTTTTTTAATATCTAGTTACGAATAAGTTGCACCTATTTCTTGTTGTTAGTACCTCTCAAAAATGCAAATTTGTTATCACTGAAGAATGATAATATCTAAATATTTACCATTTACAGGGAAACGAAAACTCAATCCCTATGGAACTATGTTCAAATTGTAAGTAATAATTTATTTTGCTATAAAAAGTAAAAAAAAATCAGATCAAAAAAGAATTTGTGAGAGTAGTACTAATATTTGTAAAGTAATTAAAATTCATCCATGCTAAAAAGACTAGTTGGCAAGTATGGAAAACTATCGGCATGTACTATTTGCATATCCTGGGTGTTCATGGTTTGTTGTTGATGGTCCGGTAATTTGGGGTGTTGTTTCAGCTCGTGTTAACTGCATTGATTTTAAGGTGGAAAACTGTGAGTGTTGCTCACTGATGGTCATTACATTATCACGCCACAGTGCACATTACACTCAGTGTATAGTTTCATTATCCAAAGGGCAGGTGACAACCTAGTCCCTACATATTGTAGAAAGATTTATTGACTATGAGATCTTATAGTATAGCATGATGTACATTACAAAACAAAGCTTTACACAATAGTTATAGGATTGTCTTAAGATACATAGGTACAATTTCTCAAAGTTTATATAGTATGTACTATATATAACAAATTCAACCAATGTCCAACTAAATGTTGTAGACGTTAAATATTTACATAATTTTATATTTAAAAACGCTACAAATTCAATGTTACTAATTGCCTAAATTATTATATTGATAAGCTAGCCTTTCTTTTTTTGTGGGTTAAAAAAGAAATCACTATCTACTAATTAATTGCAAACACAACTACATAAAATTCTTATTTAGCATTATACAGCTAGATAAACAAAATCATACATATTCTGTGATCGTAAAATGTTTACTGTTTGATACACCTAAATCAAATTGAGAATAACCATCAGTGAATTTAAGTATCTGTTTGTCTTCTAGAGAATTAGAATGATGATGGTGAATTAACACCTGCTTGAATGAGACATTTTTACTTAGATTTTGTCCAGACACGATTTTAGGTACACATATTATGATAATCATGTCATGTAAATGTGTGGTGTGCTTTGAATGAAAAAGTGGCATAATTTCATGCATATAAACATTCCATCATCATCTTATAGAGTGTGACATATAGTTTAAATATATAGCTCGCTTTGTGCACGGGAGCATAGTATCGCTTATGTATGTTAATAATAGAATGGATGACGGACGAAAGCGCGCCGTGTTATCACGCTTCATAGATAGAACCAATTACATAGTGTATTGTTTTATCGAGGTCAAGCCGTGATACTCTAAATTTTTTCAGAAAAAGTAGGTACTAAAACGTTATGCCTGAATGACAAACGAATTCTTTTATATTGTGGGTTTAATTTTAAATATTAAAAGGGTAACGAAATTTCTATCTCTCTGAACTTTAACGTAACCAAGTGAATTTGCAGGATAGAATTTTCGGGGGATATATGTATTTCAATGTTAATATTTTCTTTTATTTACGCGAGTATCACACATTTGAAGGAAAGTACACTTATCCAATTAAAGTCAGGTCTCACGAGTAAAGCGTGTGAAGAAACAGTTTAAGTTATCTTATCTGGAAGGTGTATTTTCTTTTAAATGTTACGGTTACTGTTGTCTTCCTAATACTAACTGCCGGTGTGCGCAGTCGATGCGGACGAGATCCGGCGTCTGGGCAAGCGGTTTCGTAAGCTGGATTTGGACAACTCGGGCGCCTTGTCCATCGACGAGTTCATGTCGCTGCCTGAGCTGCAGCAGAACCCCTTGGTACAGCGCGTTATCGCTATTTTCGACGCCGATGGTAACGGAGAGGTGGACTTCAAAGAGTTCATCCAAGGAGTATCGCAGTTCAGCGTCAAGGGAGACAAGCTCTCGAAGTTGCGCTTCGCTTTTCGTATCTACGACATGGACAACGACGGCTACATCTCCAACGGCGAGCTCTTTCAGGTACTTATGTCAAGCTGCGGGCTAACTTTCATTACCGTAGCATCATGCTGCCTTTGTGATGCCAATGTGGAAATTAAATTGTTGGGATTGTCAAATATTGTATAACCTCTTCGTTATAATACTACGTCTTTGCGTGTAGTTCCAATTTTGTTGATTTTTTTTTTACCTTTATGAATGAATTATATTTTGATTTGATTGATCAATTGATTTGAGCACGATGATCTTCTTGGGCTGCCGGTTTCCAAAATGTCACAAGTGCGTGTATCGTCTACAAATTTCTCGGAACCTATACGTCAACGAAAAACTACTGCTTCCATTTAGATTAAACTGGGACCGTTTCCTAAATTGGAATATACCTGATTTATATTGAAAAGGTCAAAGTAATAATCGATGTTCATTTTTTCAATTCGTTTGTACATAAAATAACATATTCGTATTCCGGGAGCAGGTGCTGAAGATGATGGTGGGCAACAATCTGAAGGACACGCAGCTGCAGCAGATCGTGGACAAGACAATTCTCTTCGCGGACAAGGACGAAGACGGCAAGATCTCGTTTGAGGAGTTCTGCTCCGTGGTCGGCAACACTGACATTCACAAAAAAGATGGTGGTCGACGTCTAGACGCCTCTCGCCGCGCCTTAGCTTCATATATTTGTTCTCTTTCATTTCAAATACTCTCACTCTGCAGTGTATTTATTGGCAATAAGGCTATCGCGGAGAAAAGAAGTACCAGATCCAAAGTAGATTCATTAGTATGTGGCCTGGTACGTCTCTAGAGGCGCGACGTCGTCTCATTACATAGAGATGTAGATTAAGTACATATTTATCTCGTCCTCAAATCTCTATCGCTCTAGTTAGACACTTCTTCGATCGCGGTCCTCGCGCGCTTCGCGTTATTTATTCGGACTACTCATATTATGATCTGAAACACTGAAGGGGTTGCAGCAAAGGGCTCCGCGCAGAAAAGATTGCACCGAAGCAATGCATTTAAGTACAAAGCGGCGAGCGAGGACCCGCACGCAAACTATCACTAAATATAAGACAGACATACATACATATTTACTTTACACTAGTTACTGTAGTCAAATCATTATCATGATATGTTTATATTTTGTTGTGGTAATTATATTGTTATTTAGTGTTTTATATTCATTTAGGTGTCGGTCGAATCAGGTAACGGCTAGCCGTAGCTCGAGTCGTCGCTTCGGCCGGATACTGCGTATACCCTCACGTCTCAGTTTATCGATTCGCTTTATATGTTCCAGATCCTGAATTATATCAAATGAACACGTCTCCTATCAGTCCCGAGTTTCCTCAAGCGTGGATGCGGCCTTTGGGAAACTGCCCCAAGGCTGCACTCGGCTTAGAGTGAGGTGTCACTAGAGCTTCATCACAAAACTGCTAATTTATAGATTACCTGCGGGTAATAACTATTACTACCGAAATATAGAAAGAACTGAATATAAATGAATATGAATCCCATCCAAGACCTTAAACCTAACATTTAGCGAAGCTCTAACGACACATCACCACCCTTTTATACTGTATAATGTTAATTAAGATTTTTGTATTTTCTCTGAACGATTTGTATAATAATGTTTTAAAGTACTTAATTAAAACTATAAGTTAAGCCACTCGCTGGACAGTGGACACGTTGTAAAGCTTAATGTTTGATTTTAATACTAGTATTTTATTAACACGTCTCAATGAAGATGTATTCAATCGGCACAATTTGGTAAACTGCACTACATTTTAAAATACACACGTAATCTCTAGTCATTTAACAGCAACTATTTCTTCATTCTCTATATACATTAATTACAGCTGTTGCTTGGCATTTATAACTTCGATCAATATGATAAATAGCTTTCAGAAAATTCAAAAATCTAAAGAAAGATACCAAATTGGATTGACAACAAATAAATGTTGTAATATAATGTATAAAAATATGCAATGTGCCTTTATATTGGTGTGCTGTTACACTAAGCAATATTAACATGGCATTGAATAAGATCTGCACTCGCTGCCTCATCCTTCTTTATACTTCTATCTAATGTGTATTGTGTCCGTGTGTGTGAAGTATATCTTGTAAATAAGGCATTGTCTCTGTACTTACTTGATGTGAGTAACAGCTTAGCATAAAACAGTGTTTGATTATTATAGAGAAACAAGACTAGAGCTCTTTCCATATTATAACATTAACAAAAAAATATAATGAAGTCCCAGTCTTACTTTCAAGTAATCAGAGACAATGCACATATAATTAATTGAGTAATTAGTACACATAATAATTTGTCTTCTCATGTTAGATAGCGTGTCCTAAGTCTGTTCTTAACTGGAACTGATTATAAGTTTTATTAAATTTTCAAATTTCATGTTTTGTTTAATTTCTTAGTGTCTAATATTAAATATAAAAAAAAGTGAAAGAAAAGCTCTAACTTTTATATTAATCCTAATTAAGTAACATTTACACTAAACAAAACGTGTGGCTATTCCTAGAAGTTTGGTGTAGTCTGCTCCTTTGGCATGAGTTCTTTCCTTTAGAATTGTCCGCAATATTGTTGGGATAGGAACATGAATGCGAGTGCCTAGGGGAGTCCCATTATCATCAATTAAAACAACATTGTTGCTGTCAAACTTTGGAACTTTAGTCTTCTGTGTTTGTTTCAGTCCCACAAGTATACCTTTTTTCTTTTGTCCCTTAATAGCTACTAGTACTCTATCGCCAATTAAACCAACACCTGTTAGGAACAATAAGAGCTGAGTTATAATTATTAGGTATGGCATTGTAATAATATATTGAAGCAAGAACTTACGCTGTTTATTATACACGCAAATAATTTTAGGAGGTTTACCCTCAGCCATTGCTCGTTTTCCGATATCCGAGTTATCCACTACCCTTAGCCTTGAGAGTAATCTTACTTCATTTAAACATTGTGAAGTGTGGAAGCTTCGCGATATATTATTACTAAAATTACATAAAAATGTTTTCAACATTTTAAAATAAAATATTCAAATATAAATGTATCCCTGTGCAGAGGTTAACAGAACCAAAATCTGATTCTGAAGATGATCATTGATCAGAAGTTATTTACATTGATACAGATAGTCATTTAGTAGAGGTAAAACGTATAAGTCAGAACACAGATCAAGCAGAAGCAAGAAGAGAAGATTTCACAAATGACAAATAACAATTGACAGTCCACAGAGAAATCGTATATTAAAACTTATTGTATAGAGACCATTATCGGTGCTTGTGACAAAGTCACTTTGTCACGTGACCAAGCGTGAGCTATTGACATTCTCATAAACTTTTTAAATCAAACCATCAAATTAAGTGTGTCGTTCGTATACATTTATTGAACGCAGTGATATACGGATGAATAATATATGATTATTCAGCCCGCAAGTTTTTCGGTTACTGGAAAAATAAATTAAATTTATTCATACGGTTGACGGATGAATAATATATCGACGTAGGAAAGCACATTTGCTGTAAGTAGACATATTGCAATTGTTCACCAGAGCCAAAAAACTTTATTAATTTCGGAAAAAAATTAATAGTGTCTGACCTATCCATGATATTGCTACCATTTTTGAAACATATATTTATTTAACTGCCAGTCACCATTTGCAATGTAAACTTTTATCCAAAATTACTATAAGTACGTGTTTGGCTAGTTACAGCAAACAGTTTTTTAAATCACAAACCTTTAAAACGCTGTAACTAAGGGAAGAAAAATGTACGCGCGGAAATATTATCAATTTACAGGCGGTAAATATGCTGTATGCAGGAAATTTATGTATTTGGGTACTTTTAATTGCAATTCAAGATGTAAGATTAGTTTATAATTATGATTAGATCTAGAAATGCAGTGGGTCATTTGGTAATGTAATGTTTGGTTGAAATAAAATGTCGTAAATGGTAAAAAAAACCAAAACTGTAGGTTCCCTAAACTTGCTGTAAGTAAACGAATGTAAAAATCACACGCCGCTGAAATGCTGTAAGTAGCGTTAAGTTTTTAAATGGGAAGAAGTAAGTATTTGTAAAGAAAAAAATGCAGATTTTCTTTTGCTGTAAGTGCAAAATGTCTGAAATGACTAGATTTTGGTCTACATACAGCATTTAATCTTGCTAAAAATAATATAAGTACGGGCGTTTTCAACGGCGTATGTAATTTTTTTTCATCGTAGAGACACAGGACCCAGGTCATTCGATGCGGCTTTTTTTTCTGATTCTAATGGCAGGAAAAAGTCACTTTAGGTATTTTGTCTACTTACAGCAAATATGCTTTCCTACGTCGATATGATTATTTTTGAAGTTATACTTCTTTAGGCGCGTTATGAAAAATTTATGAGAGTGAAATTTTACGATGCGCGCGCACCTGTGACACAAAATTGGGAGTGTGATTATAGCGTGCGCGAGTGAGATAGGAATAAGACAATCTACAAGTAAAAAGAAATAGAATATGCGTGAAGTTCGTATGCCAAGAATTTTGAATGACCATAATGACATTTGTCATTTACCTGTTAAACAAATAAAGGTTTAGGGATGTTTGCTTGAGGTAGATTGCTCCAGAATTATTTGGTCGATGTTAAAATAAAACTCCCTAATTACTTGTAGAGAAGAGGTGAAGATGGAATAATGAATGATATTTATTTACAAAACTGTGTACAATTATACTTAAAAATTATCCTACACTTACAACTAATATTGACATGTGGTACCAAGATGCGGAGCGTTGGTTGGTTGCGCAGGTACCAGGCTAGGCGATAAAAACACGGCGCGGCAAAAAGTTGGCCTTTTTCTGCACGCAGCCGTCGAAGCGTACGAACGTGTTCTTCTCAGAACACTTCGATATGGTAACCTTGCGATAACGCTAATAACTGTCCTTTTCAGGACAAATTATCGTATCACGACTAAACGTCTACAACTGTCCTTTTCAGGACATATTATTCTTGTTTCACGACAAAACGTTTAACAACTGTCCTTGTCAGGACATATTACCGTGTCCTACGACACGATGAAACTGTTCTTTTCAGAACACACGACCGTATCTATTCTGATATGTTCTTGTCAGAACACATCACTGTTTCATTACGACACGTTAATCAATCACCTACAGGATTCCCCCTCTAGCGAAGCGTACCGGCAGGCGTATAACGCGGCCTCGGCGAGTTGTCCTTGTAGGTATTGAGTTGTTCCCAATGTCTTGTTGTTTCAGGTCGTTGTCATTTTGATGTTTCAGGTTGTTGTCGTTTTGATGTTTCAGGTTGTTGTCGTTTTGATGTTTTAGGCTATTTGATGGTTCATGTAGTTCGGTCGCACTTGATGTGATTTGCTTGTTGCAGGTACTCCGTGTTGTATTAGTGGGCACATCTGGCTCGGCGATTGTGTAGGCGGGTTTGAGTCTGTCAATAGAGATATTGGTTTCGCGGTTCGGTAACTGCAGCGTGAATATCTTGCTGTCTCGTTTCAGCACGCGATAGGGTCCGTCGTAGGGTGCTTGTAATGGCTTCTTTACGGCGTCTATGCGTACGAATACGTATTCACATGTCTGCAGGTCACGGTGTATGAATATAGGTTTTGTGTTTCCGTGTGGTTGGTTAGGCATTGGTTGCAAGTTACGTATTGCGTCGCGCAGCTGATCGATGTAGGCAGAGTCCATAATGACCTCATCACGAGTCGCTGATAAGAAATCACCGGGTAAGCGTATGTTGCATCCGTAGGTAAGTTGGGCAGCGCTTACGCCGGTGTCACTTCGCATAGCGGCGCGTAATCCGAGTAGGACGGTTGGTAACTCGTTGATCCAGCTTCTTGCGGTCTGTAGTCTTGCCTTTAATGCGGCCTTAAGGACACGGTGCCATCTTTCGATGATACCGTTACACTGTGCATGGTATGATGTTGTACGCGTTTTTTCAATTCCGAGTAAGCGAGAAAGAGATGCAAATACTCTGCTTTCGAATTGGCGTCCTTGGTCCGTTGTTATTGTAGCAGGGCAACCGAAACGGGAAATCCAACCTTCGTACACTGCTTTGGCGACGTCTTCAGCTGTTATTTCGCATAATGGGTATGCTTCGGGCCATCTCGTCGCTCTGTCGATCATTGTCACAAGGTATCGATGACCGGTGGCTGCGGTTGGTAGCGGACCAACGATATCGATGTGAACGTGTTCGAATCGTTCGGTTGGTGCAAAAATTGATAATGGACTTGTTGTATGGCGTTGTATTTTGGCGCGCTGACACTGTAGGCATACTTTTGCCCACTTGCCGACGTCTGCGTTCATTGAGGGCCAAAAGTAGCGTTGCGTAATTAATTTCCTCGTGGTCTTTATTCCAGGGTGGCTAACGTTATGTACTGCATCGAATGCGGTACGTCGGTATTCTTCAGGTAGGTACGGACGTATGTATGAGGTTGAAGTTTCGCAGAGTAATTTGATGTTTGACGCGGGCAGGTTGACCTTCTTGAAAGATAAGTTGCTCTGTAAACCGAGTGCTCGAATTGTATCGCTATCGCGCTCTTGAGCTATTGCAAGTTGATTGTAGTCGATCGGCGATGGACATGTGATTGCGTCGATGCGTGATAATGCGTCTGCGGCTGCATTTTGAGACCCACTGACGTGACGTATATCAGTGGTAAATTCGCTGATATAAAGTAGCTGTCGGGTGCGTCTCGGTGATTCGCTGTTTGTATTTGATTTTGTGTAAGCGAAAGTTAGCGGCTTGTGGTCCGTGAATATTATAATTTCTCGTCCCTCGAACATTTTGCGAAAATGTTTGACAGCCATGTAGATGGCGAGTAGCTCTCGATCGTAAGTACTATAGCGAGTCTGTGCGTCGCTGAATTTCTTCGAGAAATAGCCGAGTGGTTGCCACGAGTCGTTGATAAACTGGTTGAGTGCGGCACCAGCTGTTTTGTCACTCGCGTCGCTGAATATAGCAAGCGTCGCATGGTGAGACGGATGAGCGAGTAAAGCGGCGTTTTTTATGCTCTCTTTACATGCTTCATAAGCTTGCGTCGATTCAGCGGTCCATTCGATCTTAGTTTTGTCACGCTTCTTGATGTTGTGCAGGTAAGTATTTAGCGGCGCTTGTATGGTGGCGGCATCTTTGATATTTTCGCGGTAAAAGTTGATCATACCGAGAAAACGTCGCAGTTCCTCTACGGTTTGTGGCTTTGGAAAGTCTGTGATAGCCTGTACCTTCTCTTGGGGTGGCTGTATTCCTTCCGCCGTGACTTGATGACCGAGGAATTTTACAGTTGGCTGGCCGAAAACACATTTTGATGGGTTGATGGTAATGCCGTATTCTTCTAGTCGCTGTAATACGGTGCGTAGATGTTTTCGGTGCTCTTCCTCGTCTATTGACGCTATCAGTAGATCATCAACGAAAGGGAATACGAAGTCGAGTTCGCGCAGTACTTCATGAATAAAGCGTTGGAATGTCTGTCCGGCGTTCTTTAGACCAGGACACATGCGCGGAAACTCGAAAAGGCCAAATGGTGTGATGATAGCTGTTTTCTCCACATCTTGCTCGCTGACTGGCAGTTGTTGGTACGCGCGGTTGAGGTCGAGTGTGGAGAAAATTTTCTTCCCTGCGAGTTGGTAAGTGAAATCACGTATGCGGGGTATGGGATACCGATCGGGCTTGGTTATAGCGTTGAGCCTTCGGTAATCGCCACACACGCGTAACTCTCCACTCTTCTTAGGCACGACGTGAAGAGGTGATGCCCAAGGGCTTTTGCTTGGTCTGCATAACCCTTGATTTATCATGTTCTGAAATTCTTTCCTGACCATTTCGTAGCGATGCGGCGCAATGGGGCGTGGCCTGCAGTGAAGAGGCGGTCCATTTGTTTCAATGAAGTGTTCGACGGAATGTTTAGGACTAAGCTTCATTGAAGTGAGTCTAGTTGTGCCTGGGAAATCTGCTAGTATGCTGTGGTAATTTTGCCCAATGTCTATACTGCGAACTGTAGGTATGCCCGCAGTACTGAGTTG